CTTCTTCAACCTTGTGGAATTAATGAAACTAAATAGTTTTAATAGGATTTTGAATAACTGTCAATTAATTGTTACTGTTTTTTATTGTGTTGTTACCTTCCTTAGTCATACAGACTGCAATTCTGACTAATGCTTTTTATAGGGTAGGGGGCACTGGGAGTGAGTTTATGAAACCAAGAGGTCAGTACCTCAAAAAAGTTTGGGAACTAATTGAGTTAGACTAGAGGGCAAAAAAAAAAAAAAAAAAAAAAGTAGAAAGGTAAAGGACTCCTGGATGGTTAAGTCCAATCAAAGGCTACTATGGAGTTGCGGCACTCATGTCTGCTTTCAGACCAAGAAAGCTCCCTTGGCCTGAAAGCGAGATGAGTGCCACACCCCATAGTCACCTTTGACTGGACTTAACCATCCAGGGGTCCTTTCCCCGTGACAGGGTGATCTCCCGTTGCTCTGTCCCAGCTCCTGCCAATTTAGCAGTTCGAAAGCATGCCAGTGCAAGTAGATAAATAGGTACTGCTGCAGTGGGAAGGTAAACAGCGTTTCCGTGCGCTCTGGCTTCCGTCATGGTGTTCCGTTGCGCCAGAAGCAGTTTAGTCATGCTGGCCACATGACCTGGAAAGCTGTCTGCGAACAAACGCCAGCTCCCTTGGCCTGAAAGCGAGATGAGCACCACACACCATAGTCACCTTTGACTGGACTTAACCATCCAGGGGTCCTTGTGCCATTTAACTTCACCCTACAAAAGGAGAGTTTGAGAAAAATGGGATTAAATTACCAACTGCCCCCCCCCCCGCCCTGAATAATTCCGATAACTTCTGAGTTAATCTAAGATAAACTTTGGAGAGCTTGCTCACCTATAATGATGACTGAAAAGAGCAGTCGTACAGAACCACATTGGTTATCAAGTGGTTACTAGTCCTCCGAAGACTTGCAACCCTATAGTAGCCCTCCCCAACTTGGTTCCTTCCAGTTATTTTGTACTACAAAGAAAATTGGCCAGTGGCTGCTATGTACTAAGATTTCAGTGCACCAGTTCTTCTGGAGGTGCTACTATATTTCTTTCCCCAAACCAGCCTTCTCCAACCTGGTGCTTTCCAGGTGCTTTTGGATCACAACTGCTAGCAGCCTTAGCTGGCAATGCCCAACCATATGGAATGATGGGAGTTGTAATCCAATCAGTGCTTTTTTTTTTCTTAAAAAATGTTTAGGGGGTACTCTCATTTTCCTACTCATATTGAAATACTGCCCCTCAATGAGGCCAAACTTAGATTCACAAAATGTTTAGGGGTATGTGTACCCCTGCATCACCCCCCAAAAAAGCGCTGAGTCCAACCATATCTGGAGGGCATCAAACTGGGGATTGCTGCCCTGCACTCTGTCACTTTCTCTGCCAACCTGCCTTGTTTAGCTCGTTTGAAACAGCAAACCTCACCCCATCGCACCCCATGCTTGAATGCATAGGAACATTGCACTGCTGGCACAAATGTTCTTTCCTATTGTCTTCTGTATACGGTATGTACTGGCCCATCTCCAAAGGACCTGGGAGCTCTTTTCGGGGATTTGTGTCTTTCTCGGTCAACACACAATGAAAATTCTATACTCAATCTAATGTTAACAGTTCAAATGTTATGATCTAAAGGGAAACTTAATTGTCCCCATAATTTCAGCATCTTACCTCCCTCTTTTGTTCTTGCTACATCTAATTACATTTTTCTCCCTGTAGCCTGAAAACTGTGCCAGCTCAATTACGTATAGATAAATGGATGTGCCCTATTCTCTGGTGTTGATGTAGAAAAATAATTAACAAATTGTGCCACCCACAAGAGACTAAGAAAGGGATTTCTTAATTGTTTCTCCTATTGGATCAAATAACCAATTGAAAGCAGAGGCTGCCTGCTGTAACTCTGCATGGCTTACTGGGCTGGCCATGCCCCCTTCCAATTGGCCTCTGCTGGCAATGGGCAATTCTACTGCATCTTTGAACTGGGTACAATACTATTAGTCAATCATTCTGAATGCACAGATGTGACTGAATAATTTGCTCACAGAGGCAGATGCCTGTTGGGTCTCTGCATGAGTCACTGCTTTCAGCTTCATTCCTTTTTTTTAATCACAACAGCCATGTTGGAACAGTGACTTAAGAGGAAGTAAAGAAAGTAGCCTCCTCTGATGGTAGTTTTCATACACTCTAGAAAACAGATGTCCATTAACATGTTAAAAGGTTTAGAGCAGCCTTTCCCAACCTGGTGCCCTCCTGATGTTTTGGACTTTAACTCCCATAGGCCCCAGCCAGCAGCATCAATCCATGGCGTCTCTAGATAAGGCTGGGAATGCTCCCATGTCTCAATCCCTGGAGAGCTGCTGCCTGTCATTGTAGACAATACTGAACTAGATGGACCAATGGTCTGACTCAGTATAAGACAGCTCCTTATGTTCCCATGATTACAGTAGTCCAAAACATCAAATGGGCACCAGGCTGATGAAGGACAGGTACAAACAACTCTCAGCTAAATGTGTCAATGGTCTGGGTGACTCTAAAGCATGTTCTTATGTTGACCTGGCTCTAGGGCAGCCATGTGTCTACAAAGGACAATCCTCCTCTGTTTGAAGTGTTGTTACAGGACCAGGGATAGATCTCCTGTGAAACTAATGAAGGTTCCCTAATCCCAGATTAGTCCCAAAAGCGACTTTAGTCCACATTGCTTAATATATATTTCTTATTTAGTAGTTGATTAATTTTTTGCATATATCTCAACAATCCCAAAGTCAGTGGCACAGATGTTGTAAAGGTTTTGAGCAATTTTAAGCAAAATCTGAAATGTAGTACTTATTAAAAAATAATAATGTGGTGGTATCTCGTGGGAACAACCCCACTGAAGAGGATAACAGTGGTTACCCAAACCTCATTGCTGGTTTTGAAGGGGCCCCCATAACAGTTTAAGCTACAGGCCCCCCAAGGTCCACTACTGTAGAGGACAGTCCTGTACAGTGGTACCTCGGGTTACATACGCTTCAGGTTACAGACTCCGCTAACCCAGAAATAGTACCTCAGGTTAAGAACTTTGCTTCAGGATGAGAACAGAAATTGCATGGTGGCGGCGTGGCGGCAGCAGGAGGCCCCGTTAGCTAAAATGGTACCTCAGGTTAAGAACAGTTTCAGGTTAAGAATGGACCTCTGGAACGAATTACCGTAAGTTATTAACCCGAGGTACCATTGTATTCAAATGTGTCCTCTGTTTAAAAATGGTCTGATCCATGCCTGGTTTAAAGCTTGGAGTTGGCCAATGAGCAGTGATTACCTAGGCAGCAGATCAGGCAGGCCTGATCCTGAATGGCCTGATCCTGTTTCAGGGCACCCAGAAAATGGGGGCGGGGGGCATGTGCAATGCTGAGCTCATTGAAGGAGGCATCTGAACACAAGGTACTATTTACTGGCATAAGGATGGGGCCTTGTTTGTTTTCTGGACAATTTAGTTCTTCTGAGCAGCCCACTCTGTTTTAATGCATTTTGCTTCTTTTTAATTGCCAAGAGAGCACTCATCCTTACAATAATGTCTAAAAAAAAAATAGCATGTATGTTGGGCACAGCAACCTGCCCTTTTTCCACTCTGTTCACAAAACATGATAATGAGCTTTTATTGTCACCGTGACCTGAAATTTGGTGGACTGTCAGTGGAAAAAGCTTCAGAAATGAGATTGTACATGAAAAACAACAACTGGGAGAGGTATTTTAAATCCATATACTGAGTCATTTGCGACTATCTTAGTAAAGGAGGTTTTATCTAGCCCCCCACTAAAACTAATGACAGCAAATGTAGACTACATGGTGGTTTTGCATAAGTGAAATCATTTCTTGTTACAGCGTTGTAAAGGTTGTGGGGCTTTTATGGCTACATTGGGATGGTTTAAAAAAAAAAAGCAAAGGTAAGCAGCTTTTCCACATAACTGCATTCAAGTGTAAAAGAGCAGGAAGCGGATGGCTGTATAGCTTAATTGCTGATGAGTCACAGGGCTCTTGGATAAACTCTAATGATTTCCTTCAAATTATTAACTCCTGCTGCTGTCCTGTGCCTGAATAAGCCCCAGGGTTGCATTGCCACTGGCAAATATAATTCAGTGTATATCCTGCCTCACTACAAAGGCTTGGAATGGATATTGATATGTTCAGTACAAAATTCCCAACTGCGTTGATTTTCTTTAAGTCCCATTTCTCTGAAGCTGAAACATAGTTGAATAACAAGTATATGCCTTGCTTCCAGGAGACAATGAGATTCCGGTATAATCAAGGAACCCCACGCTGGCAGGTAGACTTTTCTGTAGAAGTCCTCAAACTTCTACGTAGTCAAAGCTTAGAATATGCAAAAACATAGGATGGAACTTGTTGGTGACCAGACTAGGCAGGTGAGGATCTCCTATAAAATGAATGAATCTTAAGCTTTAGGGCAGGGATGTTCAACAGGTCTATCACAATCTACGGTAGATCCCTGGAAGGTTTTGGTAGATTGCGGTCGATCGCTGGGTCCCTTTCCTTAGCGTTGGTAAAAGAGAATCCAGCCCCTCGCCCTGCCCTCCATTGTTGCACAATCTGGAGAATGGAAGATGGAGTTTACTCAGTGAGGCTGTTTGTTTCCCCAGCGATCTGTTGATGAGTGGCTGTTCCCCTTTCTCCCTTGAGTTTAGGCTTGAATCCTCAAAAATTGGGGCTTTCCTCCTGCCTAAAAAAGCTCAAGAACTTTGACCTGAACCCCCGAAAAGAGGGTAAATCACGGCCAGTTTTTAATTCTGTGAGTAGATCACAGTCTCTTGGGAGTTGGCCACCCCTACTTTAGGGCCTCTAATCCTGGAAGAGCCCCAGAAATTATTTAAGTCCACATTACTTGATTTTTTTGCTGTGAAAAGTGCATCATGCATGCATATAACATTTCCCTGATTTCCCCCAATTTTCATTCCTCCCCCATAGAATAGTTAGAAGGGACCACAAAGATCATCTAGTCCAAGCTCCACATTTTACCATGTGGGGGTTGAACCTATGATCCTGAGATTAAGAGCCTCACACTCTACCAAATGAGCTCTAACTTTAAAACTGTAAGGCATAGGAAATTTTTATTCACACACCAGTGACTTTGACGTGTGAAATAATCCAGTACAGTAATTTTAAATCAAAATCTGAGATGTAGTAGCTATTAAAAATTTTTGGGGTGATGATCTGTCATGGAACAAACCCACTGAAGAAGTTAACCGTGGTTACCCAGACCTTGTTTCTGGTTGTGTAGGGGCCCCATAACAGTTCAAGCTTCAGGGCCTCAGAAATGTAGATCTGCCATTGATAGTAGGAGTTGGGTTTTGTGTCCCAGGGCTGGCCCTACCATTAGGAGAATGAGACAAGCTCCTCAAGTGATAGATGATCTCTCTCTCTCTCGGTCCTTTCTAAAGCCACACACTCAAGGGGAGTCAGTTCCTGGAAACTCACATTTTGTAGGTACAACAAAATACTCTAGTCTTTTGGGGTTTATTCATGAGAGCTAGCATAAGACTAGAGCAGGCATCCCCAAGCTCAGCCCTCCAGATGTTTTGAGACTACAATTCCCATCATCCCTAGCTAACAGGACCAGTGGACAGGGATGATGGGAATTGTAATCCCAAAACATCTGGAGGGCCGAGTTTGGGGATGCCTGCTCTAGTCTTATACTAGCTCTCATGAATAAACCCCATGGAACATGGTGGAGTTTATTTACTTCTGAATAGGTTTGTGTTAGTAACCACCAGTGTTTTGGAAAGTTCATTAAAAAAAATGAACAAATAGGTCTGTTCAAGATTATCAAATGCACTCTTTAGTTCATACCATTTTCTGCCATCTCGTACACAGCTGTTAAATGCACACAAGTGCTACTGCCAACCCTATCATGTAAAGAACTAAAGAGCAAAAGGAGAGAAAACATACATTTGGGCATTAAAAAGAAAAAGTATTTAAAATGAGCATCTGTAATTGTTATGGTTAGAACATTGGGCAGGGGCCTGGAAGATTAGGTTTCGAATCCCCATTCAGCCCTGAGGCTAGCGGGGTGCCTTGGGTAGCTTTTTGAGAAGGCAATACATAGCATATAACACAGTTGTACTTTCTCCTTGTTTGTGTCATAATAGAAAACACTTTATTATTAAAATCACTCCATTTTCTAAACTAAAAAGGAACAAGTCTTTTTAATAGGAGAGGCTCTGCTGCAAACAAAGTACCAGCTACAATGGCGATTCTCTCCACACATATCTGCTAGTTGATTTCGTACACACATAAGGAGATGTCCTTGGACCCTGGCTTACCTGATAGCACATGGAATTTAACTTGACTAAGGCTATTGGCAGTGTTCAGATTGTTTTGCCAATGCTAACTGAAATGGTGTCGGAGCATGGCATTTCTGAGTTTGAAGGGTTGTAAGAGGCCTGTTTAGAATAGGTGAACTCTAATAACACCAGAAAATCTTTTTAGCCATGCCTAACTCCCAGCCTCAGCCTCAAAGGCTCATAAGTCATTCTCTCAGACAGCTTGAGATGTCTGCTAAGTACATGATGGAAATTTAAGTCCTCCTTCTACCTACACAGGGCAATTCCTTCCCTTTCCTCCCAAAGCAATCCTTCTGAGGTCTGGAAGGCCTGCTGATGCCATGGAGTGCAGAACTAAGGAGGGGGCAAGATAGTCTCCCCCACCCCCAAATAATTAGGAAAGCCCCATCAGCACTAACAACACACCTGCCCTCTGTTGCTGCTGCCAACCACAGAACTCCTGTTTCCCTCCCCACTCCTGCTAGTAAAGGGGCTTTCAACGAATATAGCACCCACACTGCTGTACAGCTTCCCCCGCCCCAAACAAAGGCCTTTGGGGCCAGTAATATATACCCCCATTTCCACCCTGATTGCACATTTGGACAATAAACACAAAGCTAGCCCAAGACATTTTGCTGCCTGAGGCCGACTGGGTCAGTATGATTGTCTCTTTTCCTCTCCATCCCTAATCCATATACAGAGACTCACGGGACTGACAATGTGATTTTGGTTCGACACTGGTGACTAGTTAGCATCTTTGACTACACCTGAGGGCAGGTGTCTAATGTAGGGGGTGGCGGAATTGCCTCCTCACTCCTGCGCCTCCTACTCACCCTGCAAAACCTTCCCAAATGGGCTGCTGGTGTGCCTGCAGTTCTTCTTTTCTCCCAGCAGGTGACGATGATGATAAAATTATGATTACCAGGGTAGCCACCCTGTTTGCATGCTGCAGCAGAGCATGCAAGCCATAGGAGAAATGGCCACCACAAATAAGCCTCTGCCCGCGAAGAGCATCCATTTGAAGGCAGACTGAGGAAACTATTTGAGGGTAGGGGGGGAATAGAGGAAAACGTGCCCTGCGGCAAAGATGAGGGTCGGTGTTGTATGTCCATAGCTGTCAACCTTCCCTTTGGGGGGGGGGAATTCCCTTATTCCAGCACTATTTCCCGCTGCTTCCTGCTTCTATCCCGGATTGTTAGATATCCCGTAGACTGTCCCCAGGACAGGAGAGGCTGCTGATCCTTTATTTTCGAGGCTGCTGATCCCTTATTTTCAAATCTGAAAGTTGACAGCTATGTGTATGTCTGTCCCTCCCTCTGCTGCTCCCCATGAAACGTCTGACCCAGCCATGGAGTTGCCCTACAACAGCCAACTCACTGTTCCCTCACTCCCATCTCCCATCCATAGGCTGGCAGCCATGCTGCCCCCAGTGTCCCTGGGCACCTGGGCCAGGGTGACAGGGAGGCCTCCCCCACAGCACCTCTTTTTCACCTTCCTTCTCCTCACAGTGATCCCTTCATGCTGTGGCCTGGCTTCCCCTCCCCTCTCTCTTCCTGCTTTCTTCTACCAGCACCACGGGCTTCCTGCCTTCTGCTAGAGCAGCCAGAGGGAGGAGAAAGAAGGGATGTCTTGGTGTCCTTTGGGTAGGCCTTGACGTTGCCCACAGCAGCCTCTGCCCATGGGGAGAAGCAAGGCCATGTCAGGATTGGGGGTGGGTGGTGTGAGAGGGGAGGAGGAAGATGAGAAGGGTCATTGGTTCAGGAATTGGTTTGTGCCAGGGCTCAGCACCAGGAGTTAGTATTTGGGGGCTCCGGAAAAAGGTGCCAGAACCGTGCTCCAGTGTGCTCTGAATGTGCATTCAGTGTGCCCTGAATGTGCCTCATGACTGGCTGGCCCTGTTCACACTGGTATTTTGTTGCTGCTCCTTCAAAGGCTGGTAGACTGGTCACAGAAAGAATGCTACTGCCTGCTGCTTTAGCCAGCTGATTACATACGTGAGGTAACAGCAATGCAAGCTGGGAAAAGAGCCAGCACAGCGTGTAGATTTTGCATGCATCCAATTGGCAGATTGAAGCGCATGCATCTGATTGGGTGGGGAGGCTTCTCATAGTGCTGTATCTTTGTATACTGCTTAGACTACTGTAGATAAGTGGCAAATAAACGGTATAAATAAAATGAAATAGTGCCATGGAGTCGTCATTTCTGAGGGACCCCTGACTGACTAGAGTTCATTACCAGGGAAATAAAGTCAAATCAAAGGTTCAGTGGCATCTTTTGTCCTCCCTCAGTCACTCCTATAAGAATTTGTCTCTAAACATTTTTTCACCCCTGGAGACAGGGTTGGGACCTATATAGCATTGGAATTGGCTGCGCTATCCAGAGATGATCGATCAGCACAGGAGATGGACAAAGGTAGGGCCAGAGCAGTAGAGCATTCAGAGATGTGGTGGGCAGCCTCCTCTGTGGCCAGATACTTATTTTTGTGGAGGCCTCACAGAAGTCTTTTATATTGTGAAATCATTTTTCATGGTGCACTTCTGAGGTGTAAGACTGGGCGATATCTGGTTTTCAACATCACAATATATCACCAGCTAAACACTGCAATATATCACAACGTGTCTGAAAAGGATGGAGCTGGTTTCCAACTTTGTGATATAGCAGCAGCTAAACATTGCGATATACTGACATATCACAATGTCTGAAATAAGGATGGAGCTATGTAGAAGCCTTGGCTGGCTTCATGGTTTCCCCCACATTGTGTTTTTTTGCATAGCACACACACACACACACACACACACACACACACAGAGGGAGAGAGAGAGAGAGAGAGAGAGAGGGAGAGAGAGAGAGAGAGAGAGAGAGAGAGAGAGAGATCGAGATCACGATTCACAATGTATTGTATTGCCAGGTCAAAAATTATGAAGCCAATACTGTGATATGGACTTGAAACCAGTTTTGGATGATATATTGCTATATCGCCCAGTCCTAATGAGGAGATGGGATGACTGAGAGACTTGCAAAGATGAGAGATATAAAACATAAGCTTTATTGGGCATGTGCCAAAATAGCGCCAAGACCATGAGTCCAGTTGAGGGGATGAAGCAACTTTAAACTTTTTTTCTGTCCTTTTCCCGGGAGAATAATCTGTGAGTCTTGTTGATGCAGGCTCCATGCAGTAAGTGTGTTTAGGATAAAATTCCCGGTCTCTACAAACTTAACTGAATTAGGGGCCCAAGCACTGAGCAAGGAGCAGCTGGATTTGAGGAAACAGAAGAACAAGATTCAAACACATAATGTCCAGTTTGACCCAGTTATATTGTATCAAAAAAATACCTTCCACTGAAAGCAAACTAGCTTCTTCATAAACACCCTAATGTTAGGAGTGGGCAGTGAGATTGCCAGGTTTGCTGATGATACTAAATTGTTCAGGGTCGTTAAACCAAAAAGAGATTGCAAAGAGCTTCAGAAGGATCTCTCTAAACTGGTGACTGGGCTGCAAAATGGCAAGTGAAATTCAATATAAACAAGTGTAAAGTGATGCATGTTGAGGCAACCCCCCCCCCAAAAAAAACCCCTTCATTTCACATATATACATCCATGGCATGTTGGTGGTAACAAACCAGGAACAAGCCTTTGGGGTTGTAGTGGGCTGGTGAGATAACATGAGTACTGAACAAAGCTGGCTTCCCAAAATTCTTCACCTTTTGAGGTGGCAAATAGGGTAAGTGGGATATCTCTCTAAATATTATTAGAAGTGAGGTGGAAAATTCCCCAACAGTTTCAGAGGCACTGGGGGATAAGACCTCATCATTAGCAGTGGCACGATTGAGGACTCTTTTTTATAAGTGTTTTGGTTTTGCTGCTGCTAACACAAGTAGCAACAACAGAACTCCTGTGTTGGCAATCTGGGGCCCATTTTTGTATCCTACAAATGGCAGGAATGACAGAGAATGTTAAGCAAATTGGCCCTCTTTCTCTGGGAGAGGGAGAAAGCTGAGCACAGCTCTTCATTTTATTCTAAATTCACCCCAGCTGAAAATTTCAGCCCAGCTCTGCATGGTAAAAAAAAGAGTGATGAGTCCAGTATGGATTAGCCTCCCTCAATTTTGTGCCCTCTAGATATAGTCCTATCAGTCAAGGCCACCATGCTGGCTGGGATTGATGGGAGTTGTAACCAAAAACTAGAGGGCACCAGGTTGGAGAAGGCTGAATTAGGCCAGCAAACTGGGTTGTGTATACTTGCAGCCTGATCACCATCACTGTGAAAATCAAACATATAGTTCCATCCATTTAATAAACCTTTTGTAGCTACTTCAGGTAGATGGTGGGATGGTGGTGATATGGCAATTGCAGTTGGGACAAGGCAAATGTTCCTTTAAATTGGCCTTAAAAAGGTAAAGGTACCCCTGCCCGTACGGGCCAGTCTTGACAGACTCTAGGGTTGTGCGCTCATCTCACTCTATAGGCCGGGAGCCAGCGCTGTCCGCAGACACTTCCGGGTCACGTGGCCAGCGTGACAAAGCCGCATCTGGCGAGCCAGCGCAGCACACGGAAACGCTGTTTACCTTCCCGCTGGTTAGCAGTCCCTATTTATCTACTTACACCCGGGGGTGCTTTCGAACTGCTAGGTTGGCAGGCTCTGGGACTGAACGACGGGAGCGCACCCCGCCGCGGGGATTCGAACCGCCGACCATGCGATCGGCAAGTCCTAGGTGCTGAGGCTTTACCCACAGCGCCACCCGCGTCCCAGCACCACCCGCATCCCAGCGTACGCAAAATGCCCAGAATCTTATACAGAACTAAGCACACATTGTCTTAACTATTTTATAGTGGCGTTATGCACTTAAGCACCATTAACTATGAGTTGGAATAGGCCTATTGGGCACTGCCAAGTTCTGGTTCATCATATTCATAGGTAGGCAACCTAAGGCCCGGGGGCCAGATTTGGCCCATTCGCCTTCTAAATCCGGCACGCGGACAGTCCGGGAATCAGCGCGTTTTTACATGAGTAGAATGTGTCCTTTTATTGAAAATGCATCTTTGGGTTATTTGTGGGGCATACAAATCTGTTCATTCCCCCCCCCAAAATAGTCCGCCCCCCCACAAGGTCTGAGGGACAGTGGACCGGCCCCCTGCTGAAAAAGTTTGCTGAACCCTGATCATATGCTAAGCGAGTCATTCAGTCCAATCTTCAGTACTGTCCTAGATAAAATGAGAGCTATTTTTCTCAAATGTGCCAGTGCAGTAGGGGTGAGATGAAGTTTTGGTACTTTTCTCTTCTAAGGTAAGCTCTTAAAAACCTAGTTGTGCAGGTTTTCAGTATGGTGAAGGGTGTGTGTTGGCTGGTGCCACTGCAGTCAACAACCACCCCTCCCATCTCTGCATCAGTTTTGCAACTCTGCTTAATACGTGGGCAGGTGTTATTTGATTGAATAAACATGCATGTGGCACTGAAAAATGAGGGAGTAAAGATAGACTGCCTGCCTGAAACATGGGGGAAGAGCAAGGATGATTGGCTGGTACGGCCACATGTCATGTCAGTTAGGAAGCTAAGCTCACTGCATGGATGAAGAACCTGTCTTTAAGATGCCATTAGTCTCGGTGACAATTTTGACACAAAAGGCACAGCTCTGAAAGCTTGCCATCACCTTGTCATGAAGGGATTCTTTCGTACAAAAAATGCTGGCAAAAGAATGCCATAAATAGATATAAATATCCCATTGTCTTATCTCTCCTCTTAAGGCCCAGGCCAGGCTTGCTACTCTGAGATACATCAGAGTGTCGTGGCCGTTCTCCCCTTGGAAGACAAGGCCTGCTTCAGCCGCCTTTTCAGATCCTGCATGTTGGGGGACTTGGGCCGAACAAGATGGAGCCCTCTGCGTTTCTCGCCATTGCAGCTCCCAATCATCCTGCTCATCTCTTGGCAAAGCTGCTTAAAGGCATCGTGAACCTCCTCAAAGTTCTCCCGCGCAGACAACTCGTAGTTAGTGCAGCCCAGCTCGTTTGCCAGCTGGAGGCCTTCTTTCACAGACACCTGCCTGGCTCGCAGCAGGTCTCCTTTATTGGCCATGATCAGCAGAGGGATGTTGGCACTGGGGTGGATCTTCCGGATATGCTGGTGCAAGGGGCGGATGGTGCGGTAGCTGTTATGGTCCGTGATGGAATAGACAAGCACAAAACCATCTGCCCAGTAGATGGACCGGTTTATTTGTTCCTGGCAGCAGATAGTGTCACTCTCGTCCTGTCAACAAAACCAAGAAGAAAAAAGAAGACTCTGGTTGGGAAGGAACAATGGTGCCAGGGAGAATCAGAAGCTCAAACTAAACCAGCCTCCCCGATAACCGTCCATCTGCAACAAGAGAAGTAGTCTGGTAATGAACTGGCAACCAGTGTAGTTTCTTTGTCCCAGTAGTAAATTATTCTTAGGGCCCAGTATCATCATTTGGAGGAGGAGTCTTCCCCTTTGGGGATTTCTGACCTGCTGGACTCAATGCCTTCTTTCATATACAGTGGCACTTCAGGTTACATACGCTTCAGGTTACAGACTCCACTAACCCAGAAATATTACCTCGGGTTAAGAACTTTGCTTCAGGATGAGAACAGAAATTGTGCTCCAGTGGCGCGGCAGCAGCAGGAGGCCCCATTAGCTAAAGTGGTGCTTCAGGTTAAGAACAGTTTCAGGTTAAGTACGGACCTCCGGAATGAATTAAGTACTTAACCTGAGGTACCACTGTACTGACTCCCCCCTACCCCCCAGTATATTGTCCCCTGTCCACCCTACAGAGAAGGATGTGAGCTGTGGCAATCTGTTATATTTGACTGGCAAATGATCCTCATTAGGAGATCATTTTTCAAACAAACATACACCTGTGAATATATATACATATATATTTTCAAAAGATTAGCAGAAAAGAGCAAAATGATGTCCACAGGCAACTGGAAATTTCCCTTTTGTTATATCTGATAGCAGCCCAGAATGAAATTGGTGCAATAATCGAAATGGAATGTGGCCTAATGAAAGATAAAGGACAGCGGGGGTTTTCTATTTTTTGCTTTAAAGGAAATGTCTTCTTAATCATTTATTTCAACCAGAGACACAAATAGTTACTGACCATGCAGTTTTCAGACAGCATTTCATCAGCCAACAACCTACATTATCTCTTTCCTTTTGGCTTTCTCTTTCAAAGAATAATGAATTAGGCAAAACCGATGCCCTGTCTGAAGTATTCTCTGGAACTTCTCGAAATTATGAAAGCACAACTACCACTGCTCTGCTTATGACACCCTCATCCATGCCAATAAAAGCTCTATTAATCTGGGTACAAAGAAGAACAAAATTACTTAGCATTTGGGCTGGAGACAAACTCCAACTTTTCCAAATATATATTTTTTAAATTGTGTGATGGAACTGTTCTTAAGAATCCCTCTCCCCTGTCATGTCTGCACTCAAAATGGCCCAGTTATCTGGTTGCATGTAATATTACATAACCAATATCCTACTTTAAAAGCTTTGGCCCCTTTAAAAGCTCATTTTTAAGAGTGTTGAAAGTAGTATGATCGGGAGGTGCTGTTTCTAGCTGATAAAGATGAAAAGTCCTGAGGCTTAAATTTGCCCAGAAGTCCGTAATCCTTGGCTCTCAATTTTCGTTACCAAGAAAAATGCACTCTGTGGATCCTCAGAGGCACTTTCCCATCATACTAATCCCAGTGATTTTGTAGTTATTATCCCTGCTACTGAAAACTGGCCCTGCTTCTGAGCCATCTATGATAAACCCTGGATCAAATTAAGTCCTAGATCAAATTAAGACTTTCTAGCCTTACCCAATATGGCACCCTCCAGATGTTTCTGACTCCAACTCCCATCAGTCTCAACCACCATGGCTGATGACTAAGATGATGGGAGTTTTGTTCAACCATGTCTGAAGGGTACTAGGCTGGGGAGGTTGGTGCATACACTCACCCCACACAGACACACCTCTGATCAAATAGGTTGCGAAGGCTTTTGAAATGTGAACAAAAATCATTGTGTGTTGAGTGTCTACAAGAGCAGTAGCAATGCTTCTTTCTTTCCACCTTCAGAAGTACTGTATCCAACCCAAGTCTGATCTTTCTACAGCCAGCTGGTGACAGAAGGTTGTCTCCTGTTCCTCAGTTACCAGCCACAATTCTGTTGCCTCTCTATATCAGGGATGGGGGACCCTGTGCCTCTCCAGATGTTGTTGGACTACAATTCCCATCATTCCTGAGCATCGGTCATGCTAGGGCTGATGGAAGTTGCAGTCCAACAACATGTGGAGGACAATAGTTTTCCCATCCTTGCTCTAGGCCAGGAGTGCAGAAACTTTGGTCTCCCAAATGTTGCTGAACTAGTGAACTACAATTCTATTCAGCCTCAACAAGCATAGTCAGTGGTTGGGGATTATGGGAGCTGTAATTAAGCAACATATGGAGGGCCAACAGTTTCCCACACCTGCTCTAGGCAATGTGGATTACTCTAGTTTGTCTAATTACACACTATAACTCCTAGACCTAGTTAGCTTTCTAGTATATTTTGTTTATTTCCTTAAGGCACCATTGTACCTCCCCTCCTTGTCCTTTTGCCCTTCATAACTCCTTAAAATTGCCTGTGGGGGTTATTGTGTGTGTTGTGACTTAAAGGGAACTTCATCCCCCCACGCCTAGGCCATTTGGCTTCACATCACGTGTGTGTATCAGAGAGACTCAAAAGAGAAAAGCATGCTACGTTGGGCTCATTGCGAGACAGAGGAAAGCTGGATGCTCTCTTCACCTTCCCTCTGAGGTATTTGTCTTGCACCCTCCAATGTCACTTCTTCCCAAATGAAACATAAGGGAAGGGTGGTGGCTGTCTACTTGAGCTCCCACCCTTGGCATAGCTGCTGTACCCTGACTGGTAGTCATGGCAGAAGAATGGAAATTTAAAACAGGGGCACCAAGCCAACCAATGTTGCTGAACTCCAGCACTCTGACCATTAGCTGTGATGGCTGGGGTTGATGGGAGGAGGAGTTCAACAACATCTGAATAGCATCACATTGGCTACTTCTACATTAAGACTTCTTTTTAAACATCTCAACATTAAAAAGCCATTTTACCTCCAGTGAAACGAAGGGTGTATCCTGAACTTGCAAAGTGAGCTGCTCTCCATCGATGGTGAATTTCCTGGAATACAGTGCACCTGGCAAAAAAGAGAGATGACAACCGGATGGATACATGGAATATTTCCCATCAGAGCCTGCACAACCCAACTGGTAACTAAGCAAAAACCTGGGGCAGCCATGCTCCAAGAGTGTCTCCTTATGCTATGCAAATGCTTATTGGCAGAGAGAGCTGGTGCCTGCATTTTTGGACATGGTACAGAGGGGGAATTTAGAAGTTCATAAGCTGGGCTAAATTCTTTTTGCACTAAAAGATGTGAGAGTGAGCCCCAAGTTGTTCAGAGCACATGCATGGATATAAATAGGGAAGAAGGATTGCAAAGACAGGTCTGGTAAGGGAAGGGGTTGGGACAGTCAACCACTGCATCAGGGGACATAAAAACCTATGCTTGATCATTGGGTTGCAAGGTGGCAGTGTGAAACCTGTCACCGCACGCAGAATTCAGCTTTTGGCATATATTGGGAAGTGTCAGGGGAAAAAATTACTTCCCCATATTTAATTTCCCCCCCTATTCTTAGTGTGGTGATGGATGCAAAATGCAGATTTGCTAAAGGATAGGCTGCAAGGCAGCCTTGTCTTCACTATCACTACAACAAGCTGACATGGTTGTAAGTATGCATCCTGGAACACCCCCACCCCCACCCACCCACCTACCCCCACGCAGGGGGTAGCTAACCTGGAGCCCTCCAGGTGTGGTTGGACTACAACTCCCATTATCCCTGACCACTGGCCATTGTGACTGAGACTGATAGGAGTTGGGCCCAGCCAACAGCTGGAGGGCTGCAGGTTTCCCACCCCAATACATATTTGTAGTGCCCCAATGCCATTGCTTTCAGCAGCAGCCTGAGCAGGTGTAACATTTCCTACTGTGGAGACAGGCTGCTGTTAAAGGCACAGAAGTAGCACCAGTTAAAAATCTGGAACAGTTATGCTTTAGGAAGTACATTTTCGGATTCACTTGAGATGAAAACTTCAGTCACAAAATGTCTATCTCCATCTCCAAGTATGCTTCCACTCTGATCTGATATTTTTTCTGGCGCACTTGGTAAAAGGTTGCAGCTCATGTTTCCACCAGGTAGTCATTTAGCACTTACCAAAGCACTGGGGAAGCTTAGCCCAGTGAGAATAACTTCTATGGACCTTTGCCAACCTGGTGCCCTCCAGAGGTTTGGTACAGTTGTGCAGAGAGTTGCAATCCAAAATGTCTGGAGGGGCACCAGGTTGGATAAGGCTGTAGGATTTGGTTCATGGAAGGAGGTGTTTCTCTTCTGTGGAAGACGTTTGTTTCGAGCTCATCAAGGCATTTTACAGTGAGATAAATTCCCCATGGCCAAGTTTCCAACATCTGGATTTGATATTAAAAGAACATTGTTTGTGCAAATAAATCTAAGCATGTGTGTACAGTACTTCTACTAATCTAGGTAAAAGACCCAGTATAGTGTAGTGCAGGAATGGTCAGGTTGGTGAGAAGGGGTCCTGGAATGCACCCAGCCTCACAGCAGCACAGCTGTTACCTCCTCCCAAGAGAGGAAGGAGCAACGAGGTGTGTAGGTTAGCACAGCATGGGCGCATCAAGTGGGAGCACCAAACTGGTTCCACCGATGCAGCCAAAGAGTGGCAATGTCCCTGCTACCCCACACCTCTCCTCGTAACTGGCAGTGACCCCACTTCCAGGCCAGGTGCGTGGTGGCTCTGCTTCTAACTGATTGGTCCTGGTGGTGTAGTGGTTAACAGTGTTTGGATTATGTTTCCAGAGAACTGGGTTCAAATCCTTCCTCACCCATAAACAGCATTGCAAGTATCTCTAACCTTACCTCATGCAGCTAGTTGTAAGAGAGGTATGGAGAACCTGGGGCCCTCCAGATGTTGCTGCACTTTAGCTTCCACCATCCCTGGTCATCAGCAAGCTAGCTAGGGCTGATGGGAGTCCATCAACATCTGGAGAACCACAGATGTCCCCTATACCTGTTGTAAATGAGAAGAACCATGTGCAGGATCTTGAGCAACTTGGTTGAAGGGCTGGGGGATAAATTAATTTAATAATAATAATAATATTTCGGCTGTGGCTCCGGTCTGGTGGAACGCTCTGTCACAAGAGACTAGGGCCCTGCGGGACTTGACATCTTTCTGCAGGGTCTGCAAGACAGAGCTGTTCCACCAGGCCTTTGGTCAGGGCACAGCCTGACTCCCTCCTTTGGCAATCTTCACAGAACTCTAGCCCAATGGTTGCCATCAATTTGATTTGAATTAATTTTATAATTAAATTATTTTAGAATGTTGTACTATTTTATTGTTGTTAGCCGCCCTGAGCCCGGCTTCGGCTGGGGAGGGCGGGATATAATAATAATAGAATGAATAAATTATTTTCTGGTAGTGATGGTAGTGTTGACTCTGATATTGGTGGTGGTACATAGCCGTCATGATCGCTCATCTTTTCAATGGGAGGAAGCATTCAGTCACACAGATTTGTACTTGCAGATTGAAATGGTACACTCCAGGCACTGTTTTACTGCATCACCAGACCAGAGCCTCCCCCTGAACTGGTTTTAAGTAAGAAAGCAGGCAGATGGGTTTGGAGAAATCAAGCCCTGGAGGTGGTGATGCAGTGTCCCATTTGCTCTAATGTGGCAGCGCTTCTGGGATCCCCGTGGCTGTGGCACTTGCCCCACCATGCTGAGTGCTGGCACCAGACCTGACTGGAAGAGTGAATACACAGGCAGGAGAAATGTACCTGGCTTGGAGCTGACACCATTTTATAAGTAGCTTATGAAACAAAGTCCAGACAGCATATTATTCCACTTCCATAACACATCAAAAGGAGATGTCTGGGTACTTCCAGACACTAATCATATTTGGCCCTACCCTCCAGCAATGGGAGAAGAAGTATTTCTCCATGGCCTCAGTTATATATGACCACCTGTTTCCGATCTATAACATATTTGCTTCTGCTTGAAGGATTGCTGAAGGGATGGTTGCTTAATGGAAAAAGCATGCAGCTCCCATCAATGCTTCTCTAGCAGCCAAATCTTGGAAACATAGAGATTTGAAGCACAAATCCTGTGCATGGTTACACAGAAACAGAAAGAAGCACCAACAAATCAAGTACATGAGCAAAAGATCAGCCCGTTGACAGCCTTAAGAGCAAAGGTGAGGAATGAAAAGCCCAGCAGTGCATTTTAATCAGATGAAAGGGACAGAGCTAGAGGGGCGAAGTTTCCAGTTTCTCATTAATCAGTCAGGAGGGAGAATCGACTTTTGATCACTCCAAGAGTCTTGTGGGACCTAAACAACAAAAGGCTGCAAACCTACGTAGGTTGATTTAGAACCCACCCACTGCATTTTGCGTGAGGGAATATGTGGTGTCCAGGAAAGCTGTCATAGGACCTCAGCCAAAGTGTCTTGTGGCACCTTAAAGGTAAACAGCTTTCATGGACTAGGGAACCACCTCATCAGATCCATAAAGAGTTAATCCTCAGTTGGGAGATAGCTGTCAATCTCTTGGATACCACAAGTCTCCTTTTGCTGCAACAAACTTCAGCTGTGGAATTTGCCATGTCCAGTAAAGTTACTTAAAACTTTTGATTTTGTCATGGGCCCTCCTTCCTTCAGCCTGAAGCAGCCAATTATTTTTACTGGATTCTGTGCAGTTTTTGCCGGCTCCTGTTTAGTCTTTGTTTCCTTGCTGGGTCATCACTGGCCTTTGTCCCCTGCCTCTGCTGAGCTGCCTTGGCTCATGGGCATAACTAAACCCAGGGGGGTTTCTGTGATCAGCAAAGTTTTATCAAACCTTGATTAATTCTCACTTTTACTAAGTCATAACACATTTAAGGGGATCTAGTGTTGCCCCCCATCTCATAACATATCAAATGCTTTTTTAAAAATCTGGGGCGGGGGACAGTTGGCAGAGTCACCTTGATGTTATTAAATGTACAAGGATAGGCTAAGCTGCCATTTTGCTGGTCAACTGACAAACCCACTTACATCTATTTCAGTCTTGCCCTTTTTGAACAGCGCTAAAAACAGAAATAAAGTCTGTATTTCAGGTTGGTGCTTTTTTAAACACAGTGTTCATTTCCACTGCTTGTTGGAAATGGAGAGCTGGATAATGCTTGGCCCTCTGTCCGTCGATGGAAGCAACAATCTTTTGATCCTTTTTCTTTATAGGAAGTGTGTCAGCCAGACTCATTCCTCTGATCCTATTCTATTAAAGTGAATAGAGTATTAGCTTAAGAAAAGGAGCGGGGCTGTAAATAATTGGGCTTTGATTTATTGTTTTCATAGCCAGGGGCAGTTCACTGAAAATATGCACATTTTAGACAGCGTTTTAGCATTTTCTTTTGCCTGTGATCCATAGCACTAAAAGAAAAGAAGACTAGCTCTGGAACAGTCTTCCCCAACCTGGTGCAAAAATCCCATCATTGTTGACTGTTGCCATGCTGGCTGAGATTGATGGAAGCTGTAGCTTGCAGGATCTCAAGGGTACCAAGTTGGGGAAGGCTGGTTTAGAAACATAAGAACATGAACCCAGCAATTAGCCTATTCAACCCATTGAGTGAGGGACCGAAGGAGCCAGGTATTCAAACTCGGAGCAGCCCCAAATCCTTTGGCTGGGTGACCTATGCAAACAACAACAACAACTAAGCCACATGGCAAATTAAAATCTTTATTTTCCAACCATAAGAGGAATAGCAATACGACCTGTATATTTTGACCACATGACCCTTCGTTCTGTCCCTAGGACAGTTAGACACAAATACATTAGTTTTAATGATGTAGCGTTAGAAGGTTAGACGTACCGGTATTGGCCTCATAGTCTCCAATAAATCTCTTGGTGAGGAAGCGTACAATTAGGGCTGCAAAACAAGGGAAAAAATGCCACTTTTTAGTCAGAGTTAGAAAATGTCAGAAACTGCAGCCGCAGGCTCAGAGTGGTAATTAAACACCTGCTTTCATTCCATGTGCTACACACATTTCATTGGCAATAGTGCTAGATGGGAACATGTTTAGCAACGAAAGACCATTGTTCCAGACATGTGCAATGCAATCAAGAACCACTCCTCAGTATGCACCAAAGTTTTGTGTGACCACAACAGGCATCACATTTGTATTTATTTATTTATTAAGATTACTGCAATGTGTTATACTAGGGCTGCCTCTGAAGCTAGAGCAAAATTCAGCAGCCAGATTGCTCACCTGGGCAAGATGGTTTGAAAATATCAAACTGATCCTAATCCGATTGCACCGGCTACCAATTAATTTCTGGGCACAATTCAAAGTACTGGTTTTGACCTATAAAGCCTTAAATGGCTCAGTACCTCAAGGACTGCCTGCAAACATCATCATCATCATCATCATCATCATTAGTGCTTTTCCCCCCTAGGGGTACGCAAGGGTACGCATACCCCTAAACATTTTGTGAATCTTTGTACTTTTGTCCATTTACTGTATTTATTTTTCCCAATTTGAACTATAAAATGGTGGTTTTCTTGAGTCAAATTGAGAGTACTCCTAAACATTTTTTTAAAGAAAATGGCAACAACAACAACAACAACAACAACAACAACAACAACAACAATAATATATTTATACCCCGCCCATCTGGCTGGGTTTCCCCAGCCACTCTGGGCGGCTCACACAGGAATATTAAACAGAACAAAACTTCAAACATTAACAGCTTCCCTAAACAGGGCTGCCTTCAGATGTCGTCTAAAAGTCAGAAAGTTGTTTATTTTCTTGACATCTGGTGGGAGGGTGTTCCACAGGGCGCGCACCACCACCAAGAAGGCCCTCTGAGTCTCTTCTTCATGTGCCACCTTCACAAGAGATCTGGAGAATGGCAACATGAAAATTGGCCTTTTCTGTAGTGGCTCCCCATTTGTAGAAGGCTCTCCCCAGGGAGGTTCAGCTGTGGTTTCAATACACACTTTTAGGTGGCAGGCAAAAAAGCATTCCTCTTCATCCAGGCCTTTGGCTGATTGACATCCAATGCTGTGGTGGTGGTAGGATTATTGGGTTGTTTTTTGGTTTTTATTACTTAATATTGTGTTTTTTATATTGTGATTTTATGTTGTGAACTGCTCTGAGATCTACTAGTATAGGGCAGTATACAAATTTAATAAACAATACTACTAATAAATAAGTTAACATTCTCATTCTCAAAGTGTCTGCCCCAAAACAAAACTGCATTGGGTCTCCCAGGGCCATTTCATGCATTACACAGCAGCAAACCTTGGTTTCCCAACAGGTTTGCAATCAAATGGGAATACTACTCAGACACACCTATGTGTGTTTTTGAGTAACATTTGCATTTGCGAATGTCTTGGTCATGTTCAGGGAAGAGATGTAGTTCTGCTTTCCATGCAAAAGGTTCAAACTCTAGCATCTCCAGGTAGGAAAGACGCCTGCCTGAAACCTTAGAGGCAATTTAGACAGTACTGAGCTACATAAGCCAATATTCTGGCCTAGTATAAGAAAAGCTTCCTTTGTTGGGAAGGCCATAGTTTAACGGTAGAGCACATGTTTTGCATGCAAAAGGTCCCAGAAAGAGCATGCAGGCAACTCTCTGTTTGTGTAGAGGGTGACTTCCAGGTCATTAAGCGCATCAGCGGTTGCATATAAGCCTGCCCTGCCCTGCCCCTGAAGCCCAAAGCGGCCCACGTGTTGGCAGCCATGCATCAATCGAACGTACACAAAATGGTCACTGCCTATATTCAGGAACTGCTGTGAGAGGCCCCTGTGACTTTCTGAAACCTTGGAGAATCACTGCCAGTCAGTGTAGGTGATATTGAGCTTGATGGTCTCACTCAGGATAGCAATTATGCTTTCAAGGGTAACCCCTAAAAATGCTTAATGTGTGAAGTGGCCTTCAAAAATATTTGACATGACTCTTTAAAAATCACAGTATTTGTCTCTGGTTTTCTTAACACTCGCTGCAAACACATTTTCTAAGATGCTGCCAATATCACGAGAGCTAGAAACTTGAAAAGTAATACCCCAAACTCTTCAGGGTTCCATATATTGTCACAGAAAAATGATGATGACTCTTAGGCCATCATCTCCTGCCCCCATTAGTACAATTTCCATGTAGCACACGTAATAAATTATTTGTGGCTAACAATTTGGCTTGGCCTGGTGACTGCATTACAGGTATGCAGCAGATTAAGCCATTCACAACTGAGGGGAATTGTTCGTGAAGTATTAGTCCCTCTTTCTGATTCCCCCCTCTCCCCCGTGAAGTTCTTCTAGAGAGACAGCCTAAGTCCCTAAGTGTATTTACAGAGTGTAGCATGGAAATGGATATATTAACCCAGACGAAAAGTCACATAATTAATCTACAAAGGAAACAGCAATCACAGTGTGAACTTTCAGATTTAAGCTTAACTGTATTCAAAACAGAGCACATGCTTACAAAACTAACCCATATGCATTGTAATACAAACCCACTCATAAGTTCAACGGGAGTTACTCTCATAGACATGTAAACAGGCTGGCAGCCAAGGACATCATTCTGTTAGCTGCTTTTAAGGCTATATGTCTGCTATAAAACTCCCATCTATTTGTTTTCACATTCACATTTATCGTCTTTTTCATGGCTTTCTCACGTCCCTGCATTTGGGAGTCTGGGACACTAAGTTTTCCACCGCTGTCTCCCTTATATTAAGTGGAATTCCCATAGCGCCTTTCAACCCAACTTATTATTATGAGGAAATGAACCATGTGACATGCACACACACTTCACATCTATTGCTTACTGCAGGACGGAAAAGCAACAGAAGATACCCACCGTTTTTATGCAACCTTTTTATGCAGTGAGCTAGCTAAAGGTGGAACTACTCAATGCTGCCACCCAAACACAGCACTCCCTAACACTGTCTTTTGTTTTGTACACCAACTCCATATCAGCCAGAACTGAAAAACAAACCTCAAGAAGGAACCAGGCTGGTGAAGGCGGAATTTTGCAAACAACAGGCATGCTCCGTAGGGTGAATGGGAGTTGCAGCCCAAAACTTCTGAAGGGCACCAAGTTGGCAATGTCACGGTCAATGTAGGTTTGGGAGCTCACCTTTGCTAGGGTAAAGTATAATTCCATCTTCAGTGGTTTTCAGGCAGAAGATGAGGCCCAATGACTTGTGCAGCAACAACCTAGGGTGTCTCCCTGAATTGTCTGCAATGAGTAAGGGTCCTGTGGCAGACCTGAAGAGCACCCCTCCACCACATGGGAGAATCCATGGATATGAAATATTATTGTAATATGACTGCTATACCATAAGGACATAAGAGCCCTGCAGAATTGCTCCAGCCATAATAATTTTTGTTTGCTCTTTTCATGCCTCCCCTACTGTCTTCCCAGGCAACCCACTCTCTGAAAAGTGTTTCATGCATCTCCTGTTGGATTTGAGAGCAGATTCCCAATAGCTCCTTGTCTTCCACCAACAGAACGTCATTCCCCAATGCCCGGCTCATGACCCTCTGGAGGGTGTCCATCCTGCACTCTCTTTCCTGTTTTGCGGGGCAGGGTCCAAAGCACAGTTTAATAACTGAGGCACTTGGCACCCAGTTCTGCTTTCAGATAGCCAATCAAATAGCATTCCAAATTCATGGGAGCAGCGGGGTGGAGTGGGGGGGCTTTTCCTGCTTTCACTCCTCTGTACAGAAATCCCAGCGTATTGCAGAGCATTTCAGGGCCTATTCAAGGGTGGGTGGCTTATTGGTGGTAGGTAGGGATGGTCAGGTAAGTCCATTTCAGATTTTCTCATTTTTCCCGTTCTTACAGTTCCACACCATGTTCTGGTTTTAAGTCACATTTGTTTGTTTGTTTGTTGCTTTTTAATGTGAATCTCTTCTAATAGACACACTTGTATCTGTCTATTACACATTTCCCCAGTAAATTTCCCTTAATATATTTTTGTATGATTTTTTTTACTAATATATGCATTTTTATGCATGCTTTACCCAACTATATGCATTTTTGTACCCACTGCTTGGATGGAGAACCGCACTGTAAAATTTAGAGAAAAGCAAATTTTGAAGGGTGGCTGTGTTTAAGGTCTCTTGTTCCAGAAAGTGCAAATTATATAGGTTCACCCTTAAATGTGAAGTGAATCTAATTTCTGCCCATCCCCAGTGGTGGGTAAGTGCCTTTACTTGTGGAGCAAAAGATCGCTAGTTCTCACTCTGAGCAAGGGGGCCATATATTCAACTAGGAATGCATTGCAACAGTAGAGCACATGCTAGAGGGTCCCAGGTTCAAGTCCTGGCATCTCCTCTTTAAAGCAGGTGATGGAGAAAACCTTCCACCAGGTGACACCCTTGAGAGCTGCTGACTGTATTGGGCTAGATGGGCAACTAGTCTGACCCGGTATAAGACAGCTTCCTCTCCCTCTTCCATACATTCATTTCATGCAAAACACTGGAGGAGCCAGACCAGCTGCATCTCACTTGGGGCTGGTATCACAAGTCAGCACAGTTGGGCATCTACACTCTGCAGGAAGGGGGCCCACTAACACTGCTACAGTGAAGGAATGGTGTCAGGAAGGAGAGGGGCCCCTGGAAGATGTCTTGCCCAAGGACCCTCCCAGCGGACCCTAGGCTCACGATGTGAACTGACAGAGTAATCTAGAACACCCCAAACTCCATGCTGCAGGGAAAGCCTGGCAGCAGTAGCCCAGCCCTCTTTCAAGAAAGTTTCTCTACCATGATGGATCCTCTCATTGATGAAACCTTGATAAGCTTCCGGTGAAACCCCGTGCAACATAATACAAAATTTGCTAGTGTAGACCAATGCCAACAAACCTTGACCTCCCCCCTCCTCAATTCATCTGCTTGAAAATCTCCAGGCATTATATTTCATAGCGGCATGGGGGTGGGGGTGGGAATCAGATCTGGTTAACCTTTACATTTTGCAAGATAAACATGGGCTCGGATCATTATTTCCATCAAATATTAACATAAAATCAGATGGCAGATGTGGAGAGAGGAGAGGGAGGGAGGGAGGGGGGGGGGGAGAAAGAAAAGACCAGGCTGCCTCCACAGCAACTTCTGAAGACTTACCCGTTTTGCCAACGCCGCTGCCACCCAACACAACGAGCTTGATGACTTTGCTGGCTGCGCAGTCCTGGACAGGATGTTCAGGGATGGGAAGTAATAGGAAATTTGTGGAGTAATGTGACATAGTATTCCTAGGTAGGAAGGGCATGCCAGTGGAGGAGACCTGATGAGCTCTGCTGATGGGGTAGGAAGAGAACGGAGCAAAAAGCACAATTCCCCCTTGCCTCTCTCTTCTCTTGTGCCACCCTGACAATGGAATCTCCCGGCAGTTTCATTGAAGCAGCATTTTGGAGGAAGAAAAATAGAGCAGCCGCCAGTCCCCTCTCCCCGCAAAAGATTGTGCTCCGACAGGCAGAGGGGAACGTTTTGATCATCCCCAGTGAAAACTGACTCCTGCATTCCTCAGCCAATCAGAAGTCAAAACATGACATTCCATTACTTGGGACATAAAGTCCGGGCCTCACAGTAAACTGCACTCATTTTCTGCCATTTTCACTCATTCTTTTTCTTCGCTGACCATTTTACTGGTTGAAACTTGGAACTAAGCAGGAGGAGATTATATCAGAAATAACATTTTGGGTGGGGTGGGGATAGGGAGAAGAAAATAAAATTCGCTTTGATGTCTTGCCACTGGGTTTTGAGGGGCTTCGTTTTGTGCTGCAGAAACTTCTGTTAAATAAGCAAAACCACAAACACTGAGGGAGGGAGCTCTGGAACAATGCTTCCAAGTTGGATGGAGGCACCCACTGAGGCTACAAATTTTAATGGGTTCATCAGCACGATTAGTAATCGGAAATAGATATTGGCCATGAGTGGACTCTGAGGTAGGTCTGGTCCCCTTAAGGGTCTGTAGGTAGCAAGGGATGGGTGAATTTGTAATTTTAAATTTATTTTTCCCAATCTTGAGTTCAGTTTTGCACATTTACATATCATTTTGCAATTTAAAAAATAAATACAAAACCCCCTCATGAAAATTCACCAGCTTTTTAGTACAATTTTCTCCAAAAAGATATACAATTTCATATGCAGTTTTGTCGCAGCGTGATTGCTGACAGGAGTGAGACCTTGTCAGTATGTAACAGCTGTGTTCAGAGACCTGTGATGCTTGCCAATCTGCCACCAGGCCAAGTTCAAGGTGTTACTATTAGTAGAGAAAAAGTGTAACAACTTGGGACCAGTTTACTATGAGATCGCCTTACCCCATATGTGCCCACTTGACTGCTTCAATCTGCAGAATTGGCACTACTACAGGTGCCACATAATACCTGCACAGCATTTTAAAAACTCAATTTTTTACTGTGGCAGCAACGGCACTTTGTGACTCCCTGCTTATGGATAGCAGGCAGGCACTGCTATTATATTCTTTTCCATGCCTGCTGAAGTCGTTCTTATTTAGACAAGCCTGTACAGATGGTTAGAAGGTTTGTATAATTTATTTTAGTCTGTTCTATTGTGGTATTAGCTTTCTGTATGTTTTAAGTTATGGTTGTAAACAATTTTTTAGCAATGATTTTATTATTTTCTCTGTTTTGTAAACCAGGCTGGCACTGCAAATAAATCAATAAATAATATACACATTTTTGCAAAGCTATTTTGTCTAACATGCTACATTTTTTGTATGTTATTTTGAACGATGCATGTATTTCTATATATTCTCTGACCTAATATATGTGTTGTTCTACACATTACTGGGCTGGAGCATTGCATTTCAAAATACAGTGTGCGTTGTTGAAGGACAGATGCACATGGGTTTGTATTTTGTTTCAGCAAGTGTGAATTAGACAGGTTCGGTTTAAATGTGAACTGAGATTCTCTCCTGTGCTTAGCTGTATCGAGTGTTAGTCATACCCAGAGTCAAGCCACTGAAATTAATGAACACAACTGACTTAATTTTCTTAGATCTACTCTGAGTTAAGACTCAATTGGCTACAATTTTGCTTCCCCAGTTACCAACCCAGAGGATAGAGCAGGGGTAGGCAATGAGGTGCCCTCTAGATGTTGTTTGGCTGCATCTACTATCATCCCTGACCATTGGGCATGCTGGCTCAGACTGATAGGAGTTGGAATCAAACAATATTTTGGGGGAATGCGCTACATTGACTATCCCTGGGCAGTAGGAAAGTATAGCAGGAGTTGCACCCGTAGCAAAAAGGTCTGCAAGTAGCCTCTTTTGAGAAGAGCTAGTGAGTGCTTGGTTCATGAGCCTTCACACATACACACCCCAAGTGCAGAGTGCTGCTTCAGTAACACAGCTGCTGGCCCAGGAGAGATGAAGTATCAGTACTGATCCCATTGCCCTATATAATTTTTGATATCTGTGATATTCAGGGGTTTTGTTTGTTTGTTTATAAACTGGACTTGTTTTTATGTATTTTAATTCTCATATCTGTAAACTGCTTTGATATTACTTTGCTAATGGCTAGTGATACATAAATATTATTAAATACAAAGTAAATCAAATCAAATCGAATTGTCTAAGGCTTCAGCCACAGAGTGAAAACCAAAAAAGAACATTCCCTGATTAAGTGGTAGGATTGTAAACAAGTAACAAGTTTGGAATTTTTGAAAGAACATAGGAAATACCCTGATGGAAGGGAGTTTTTTAGTCATTAGTATTAGTATTAGATTTCAATTCAATTCAGTTATGAATTGCTTCTCATAAAACACCCTAAAGTGATTTTACAATAAAATCACATATAAAACAATTTCGAGTAGCAACACATTGGGGTAAAAATATTCCCTTAAAAGTCTTTTTGGAAAATTGAAGGTTCAAAGGTTATTTAACCAAAGGTTATTAAACTTGTGAGACTGGTAGTCTCTGTGCTTGCAGAAAACTCAAAAACACAATGAAGAGTCTTGTGGCACATTAAGAACTAGCACATTTTATGATGGCTGTGGACTAAAACTTGTGTTGCGCTATGATCTGCAGTTTTCTGATATATTATGCACACATGAATGTAGGGTTAGGGGGGATGTAGACAATGGAGTTAAATGGCAATAAAATGAAAATTTCACAGTCTCACAATTCAGTTAGAGTTTAGATGAACTTTCCTCAACCCAATACCATTCAAATGCTGTTGGATTGCAACTCCTATCACCTCCTATTGTTGCATGCTGGCTAGGGCTGATGGGAGTTGGAGTCCAACAGCATAAACTAGAGGGCATCAGGTTGCAGTAGGCTGGCTCAAATGTATGGTGCCACTTTTATTCAACAAAGTTAAAACGATTGCGATATCATGAATTATTGCCACTGTGGTCATTTTGCGTGCATCTAATCAAATTTCCACAGAAGTGACCTGCTTCACTGCAGCAGGTCAAGGGACTTATTGTTAGTGGGCCCCCTGCTGAGGAGCAACCATCCACAGATGCCCAACTGTGCTCGCTTGTGATACCAACTCCAATTTCCATTTAATTCCAGTCTTATATCCCCCACCTTCAAATGTATTTGCTCAGTGGGCAGGACACACATGGATGAATGGTGGGGGTGGTGTCTGCCCCCATTTCCCTGACACACATTATTTAAGCAGAGTTATAATGCCCAGATAGGACTACAATATAGAACTGAAGGGTGTTCCAAGTATTAGTTGTTAATGAGTAGAAAAGCAGATTGACTGTGGCTGAAATACGAAGATGAACTTATCCACATTTACCTTTTGCCTCACTCTTACCACGCTTTAATGCTCTGTGCTCAAATGTGGGTTCCTCCCCAGCTTTCCCTGTGGAAATATACACTTTAAACTGAAGTGAAACCAAACAGCAGTTTGGGTTTTCTGTGGATTGCTGTTTGCTCCAATTGAGCTTTTAAGAGCAGCTTTTTGTGGGGAAAGCTGTGGGGTAAACAAAACAATACAAAAACAAAAGCACTCAGACATGGAGCTTTTAAATGTGGACCGTGCCTAGAAAGAGCAGAGGAAAGGTAAGCGTGGATAGGCCTGAGAGATTAACATTTCCGCTCCTAGTTCTTGCTGACATGATTAACAGAAATTCCTTTAGCCTCTCTGTTCTCCTGCTTGTGCCTCTGTGCAGCTCTGTTCTGCAAATACAATAGTCTTGTTCCAGTGCAATTTAATTGCAATTGTTAAAAATACACTGAGAGCCTCAAGTGTAAAGCAGTATAAAATGTTATTTTTGGAGTTCTATTGTTGCTTGAGGCTGCCTGGGTGCCAAGCAAAATATAACTAAAAACACATTTTTAAATCCACAGCCAAAAGCAACACAGACTCTAATGATGATGAAATGCTCTGCAAACACAACTAGAAAAACTTCTCCCACAGCAGCCACCCCCTTCCACCAATGCAGATATTTAAAGAAAGGCTGCAATGCTATTAGGAACCCTGACTCACTGCAATCAATGAGACTCTCTGAACCACATGAACATCCCCCTGTTGGATCATGTCCATGTCCCATCTAGTCCAGCAACCTGTTCTCATAGTGGCCAACCAGGTGCCCATGGGAAACACTCAAGCAGGACCAGAGCATAACATCACACTCCGCACCTGTGATTCCCCAGCAACTGGTAGCCGGAGGTATATTGACTCCAAAAGTGGAGGTACACCATACCCATTGTGGCTAATAGCTATTGATCATCATATCCTCCATTTTGAAGCCATCTAAGTTGATCTTCCATATCAATGTGGCTAGGATTAGGCGTCAAAGAGAAAGTGGGGGATATCTAGTGCTGTGTCTGTTAAAAACTCAGTAGGGCCTGCCACCCCTGCTCACATTGCTCACTAACCCTGCCTTCCTGCCACACCCCCCAAACCCCATAACCTTTGCTAACCCCCTCCCTGTACATCTCGCCTCAAAGCCCTCCCCTTACAGCTTACCCCCGAAACCCTCCCCTCCCTTATATAAGAATATAAGAGCCTGCTGGATCAGGCCATTGGTCCATCTGGTCCAGAATCCTGTTCTCACAGTGGCCAACCAGATACCCTAAGCAGGGCACAAGAGCATCCTCCCCTCCCGTGGTTCCTTGCAGCTGGTATTCAGAAGCATTACTGCATCCATCTGTGGAGTTCGCACAGCCCTTGCAGTTTCCACAACCCCACTCCCTGTCCCCTCATAGCCTGCTCCATCTATGCTCATTCCTGTTCATTCCCCACTGCCATCCCTGAGGCTTTCTTCTCTTGGCCGAGGTGGCGGCAGGATGAAGGGGAGAAACACTTTGTCGTCATCACCCCTGTTATGTTCTGGTGGACCAGAACATAACAGGATTTGCAGATACCCCCACTTCACCTTGCTTATCCCTGAGATTCTGGTGGCCTTGTAGTGGTTGGAGACAGTTCCTTCTTGCTGATTTTGCAGCTGGCACTGACATGGAGGAAAGGAATAGGAGGCAGAGAGAAGGGGAAGCTGACTGAGCAAGGGGAGAATCTGTGAGGAGAGGCAGAGCTTAATCTGAATCTGGCCTTTTCCCACTTACTGCTTCTCTCCCCACCACCACCACCACGTGTTCTTCGTACCTTCTCACTTTGTGTCTCTATCTCCATGTAAGCTCCCTGGAAAATGGGGTGGTGGCCATGGAGTCTCGGCTCCTCTCAACACTACTTAAGTGTATGTAAAAACAGTTTGAATTTGGGCAGAAGGTCTTGCCACTCCCCTTGAAGCTCACCTTACCCACAGATTCACCTCAACTTCTCTGGGCCTGGGGCAGAGAAAAGCAAATGTACCCGCTTTCACCAAGTTTGGAGACAGGGAGGTGTTCTGGCAGCGGTAAAAGTGGGGGGGGGGGGGAGAATGGTGGCATGGGGTAGTATATTCCTATTTCGGCTCATTTCCATTTTGGCCAACAGTGTCTCTGAGATTTGTTTCTGAGTAGACACTCATAAGGGGATTGTCTCATGAAAATGAGATCCCTGCAGAAATGAAAGTGACCCACTTCCAAAACAATGTGCAAATGTATCGTGTGCACAGTTGCAATCCCAATTTTTTATACTTCAGACTAATATGCCCCATTATACTGTAGGGCTTTTTGCAATCTTATTTGGGAGTAAGTTCCACTGAACAAGGACTTACTTCTGGGTAAGCCAGCAGAGGAATGTCCATAGGGCTTACCTCTGAGCAGATGCACACACATTTGAACTCCTAGGCTACAATGCAATTCCTTAGCAAACTTAGATGGACAGATTGATTTCAGTGCAGCCGAAGAAACTTGTTGAGCATGGAGGTGAAGGTGGGGGGTGAATGCTGATTATGTCCTCAGGTAATAGGGTGGGGGAAGCCCAGATTGAATTGGGGGGCTAAGAGGAAAGGAGCTAGTGGCCTAAGTAGAACAACCTAAATACCTGTAAAGCCATGTACGCTGAAATATAAGAGAAAACCTTCATACATAAATGATCCACTGCAAAAGTTCTTTCAGGTTTTTTTTATTCTTCTGTCATTCCTCCAAGGGGTTCAAGATAAAGTTAATAATAATAACAAATTATTTTATTATTTATACATCGCCCATTTGGCTGAGTATATAAGTGGGTTTCTTTAACACCCCCCCCCCACAACAAACAACCAGCCTGTAAAGGGAAGGCAAGGAAAGACTGAATGGCCCACGGTCACCCAGTGAGCTTCGTGGCTGCACTGGGAAATCGAATACATCGCTTCCTTTAAAAACCGCGAGGACCTAGCACGAGGAGGGAACTTGTGGTCCGCCATGTGCCGATGGATTTCAGCTCCCGCCAGCCCCAGTCTGCAAGGCCAGTGGTCGTGGTTGATGCGAGTGGTTGGAAACAACATAAAAACATAAAAAACATAAAACAAACAACCCTGTACAGTATATAGGACCATGGCTTAGGCTTAATAGTTAATCAGTCCGGCTGTAAACGGAGGCGCGAGTGGAAATGGAAAGGCGGAATACAAGCAGCGAAGTAGGTGCAGGATGAGTTTCTCCTGTTCCCATAAGGAGGTGCGGGGAGGTGGGAACGGGACGCCGGAACTTATATTTCGGACTTGTGGAAGGGACGCCGGAGCCATTTGGGCGAAGAACGCGTGGCTACCCGGAGCGCTTCAGCGGGTGCTCTAGTGACGGCGGGAACCACCATGGCGGGTGGATGGTAATGCCGGTGACGGTCCGAAAACTCGCCTTACCATGGTAAGGGGTGGAGAATGGGCTCCAGTCCCCCCTCTGTCTCACAGGGGGATTCTACCCCATAGGAGCTCCCCTTCTCCTCCCCGCCCCCTGTCAGCACCCTTCTCCCTCCCTCTCCAAGCCTGACTCCCCTTCTTAAATTGGCCGGGATAGAAACTGGAGAGGGCAATAAGTAGGTGGGTAAACAAATAAAATAAATGAAAGCCCTGCCCTGTAGGACTACGGCGACCAACTTTTAAACACTCCCCGTCCTCTGAATTCTGTTGTCCCGCGTGTGTTTTGAGCATATGCAGAGTTCTTCTCCACTTCCTCCCGACACCCGCTAAAGGGAAGCATCAGCTTTTTCTTTTTTAAAAGAAACGACTGTGCATCCAACTAAGTTGGGTGGGTATTAAGTAGACCCATTGAAATCATAGTCATGTCTGAATCTCAGTGGGTACGTTTTGAGTGGAACTTAGTTGGGTGCAGCCCAAAGTGTGTAGCTCTTAGCACATGTGCATAGTTCTTCCTCCACTTCCTGACACACCTGCCCCACACTGCCTCATGAAGGACAGCATCCATTTCAAAAGGATGAAGTTGATTTTTTTTTAAAAAAAATGTTTAAACGGTCTCCCTTCCCAAGAGTGACACATTTGAAAATACAGTGGTACCTTGCAAGACGAATGCCTCGCAAGACAGAAAACTTGCAAAACGAAAGGGTTTTTGGTTTTTTGAGTTGCTTCGCAAGACGATTTTCCCTATGGGCTTGCTTCGCAAGACGGAAACGTCTTGCAAGTTTGTTTCCTTTTTCTTAAAACCGTTAATACAGTTGCGTCTTGACTTCGAGGAGCAACTCATAGCACGCGGTGTGGTAGCCTTTTTTGAGGTTTTTGAAGACTTTGGTGATTTTTGAAGCTTTTCCAAAACTTTTCCGACACCGTGCTTCGCAAGACGAAAAAACCGCAAGACGAAAAAACTCGCGGAACGAATTAATTTCGTCTTGCGAGGCACCACTGTAGGAGGGAAGATTATCAAACATGTTTTTTTGTGTGCATCTCTGTGTTTGTTTTCTGGCTTTACATCCTCCCATTTTTGCAGCTGAGAATAAAATTCTATCTACTTCTTCCTAGCAATACCACCCGTCTGCACCTTTCATATCAAACTGGCTTGCCAAGATTTTACCTCTGAAAGTTTGCTTCAAGAAGATATCTCTCACCTTTTTGCCCTAGCTCTTGTAAACCTCCCTCCCCCATAGTTAATATCACCCCTTATCCCAAGGCTATTTCATGTACAAAACATTTATGTGTAGGAAATGATGTGAAACAAGTCTGTGCATTTGTCATCTATGGGGATCATGCATGTATTCATTGAATTAGCTTTATGCGTGGAGTGCAGCTGCAATGGGAGTTTGCAGCCTGGATATGGAGGTTCAGTGAATTATAAATAACTGTCAAAAGGGTTTCTAACATACTTTTCTCCACTTAATTGTTTTCTGGGTGGGACTTGCTGGATATGTGAAGCAGGAAGCTGAAAGTAGAGGTCAAATTTCTGGAAACAGTGGAAGAGATTGCATTTTTTTTCTTTTTCCTCATCTTCCTATCTTTTGCTGAAACCTTTTTTTTTTTTTTGCCAAATCAGAACTCGCTGGTTCCTTCTTTCCCTTTCTCTGTACAATCCGTAATGGATATTGTACCTTTAGGTTGCATCAATATCCCTTTTCCAACCTCTGTTTTGTATAGCATCCTCCTTTCTCCTAGATACTTTCCACGCCAAACTTTCTCCAGTAAATATCAGAAGTTCCTACTTGGTGGTTTTGTTCTCTTCTTTTTAGGTACCTGTCTTAATCTTATTTATTGCATTTATATCCCAATTTGCTTCCATTGTGGAACTCAGGGCAGTGTTGTGCGTTATGTTTCCAGGGAATCCAAGCATTGACCAGCAAGGCTGCCGTATCCTGCATCTTCAGTCCATGCATCATTATTCAATGTGTACCCATTCTCCTGGACTCTTTCCACACTGCTTTTGTTCTTTCATGTGTTTCTTACCTACATTTGCCTCTGGAACCCTGTTGGGGATGAAACCGGTATGGGAAAAGTCAGGGAAAGAGAAGGATTAAAGAACTGCTGCTCTCTATTGCAAAGTTTCTCCTGTTTCATCTTTCTTTTTTGCAATGGTGTAGGGGGCCCATCATCAGAGTAATGCAGCTTAACATATAATTAGGCCCTCACGATACTTCCCAGAAACTTTATTGCACCTGCCCTTTGTAGTCATACTCTGGAACAGGTAGGAAACCTGTGGCCATTCATATGTTGCTGGATTACATCCCCAGTCATCCCTGACCACTGGCCATGCTGGCTGGGGCTGTTGGGAGCTGGAGTCCAGCAAAAGCTGGGTTTCTCATAAATTCCCTTGAAAGTTCTCCTTCCAGGTTCTCGTTCGAGCTGGTGTCATCTTCAGTTATTCCAGATCTTTCTCCTCCTGTGAGGTGGCTTTTCATAGCTGATGTGGTCTGACCAAGGCAGAATAAAGTGGTACTATTACTTCTCTTCATCAAGACACTAGACTTCTGTTGATGCAGTCTAGAATAGCATTAGCTTTTTTTGCTGCTGCATCACACTGTAGACTCATGTTAAACGTGTGGTCTACTAAGACCTCCAGATCCTTTTCACATGTACTACTGGCAAGCCAGGTGTCCTCCATCTTATTTTTGTGCAGCTGGTTATTCCTGCCTAAGTGCAGAAGATGACGTATGTCCCTACTGAAATTTATTTTGTTCATTTTAGCCCAATTCTCCAATCTGTTAAGCTCATATTGCATCCTGTTTCTTTCTTCAGCAGCATTAGCTACCCCTCCCAGTTTAGTGTCATCTGCAATTTGGATCAGCATTGCCTCAATTCTTTCACCCAACTCATTTAGATAGACATTGAACAAAAACGGACCCAGGACAGAATCCTACAATACTCAACTTGTCCCTGTTTTCCAGGATAACAACGAATAACTAGTAAGCACTCTTTGGATTCAGACACTCAGCCAGCTACAAATTCACCTAAAAGTTACCTTGTCCAGTCTATATTTTACCACATTCTCCACAAGAATATTATGGGGGACTTTGTCAAGAGCCTTACTGAAATCAAGATACACCATATTCACAGCTTGTAACTCTATCAAATAAAGAAATGATATTTGTTGGGCCTGACTTGTTTTTGAGAAACCCATGCTGGGTTTTAATAATCACATCATCCTTTTCTAAGTGCTGACAGATCAATTATTTAATAAGCTGTTCTAGGACCTTTGCTTCTATCAATAAGCTCACTAGTTGGTAGTTATCTGGGACTTCTTCCTCTTCCTTTTGAAGATGGGAACAACTTTTTGCCCACCTGCCTGCCTGCAGGGACCTCGCCTATTCTCCTAGAATTCTCAAAGGTTATAGACCAGAGGTTCTGAGAGCAAGCACCTTTAGTACCCTTGGGTGCATCTCATCAGGTCCTGGAGATTTAAATTCATATAAGGCAGCTAGATGTTTCCTTACCACCTTTTTTTCTGTCTTGGGCTGCAGCCCCCACCTTGCATCGTTTATTCTATTATTGCCAGGTTGGGCACTGCCTTCATTTTGGGTGGAGACAAGCAAAGTAGCTGTTGAGTTGAGCAGTTCTGCCTTCTGACACCCAATAGCTTTTCTGCATCTTCAGCATGCAGAGGGAGATTATGAGGGGAGTGATTGTTGCTTGTTAAAAATATGTACATCTGTTAAAATGCTTTGGAGTTCATAATGCTGCTGTGGCATTTGTCTAATGATGTCTTGAGATGATGGGTTTATAGTTGGGAACCATGGAGGAAAAAGAGAAATGTGAATTTAAAAAGATACAATAAGCATCCTGTGTGGGAGACCAAGCCCTTGCTTTGCAATGGAAAACTATGAAGGTGATCCATTCTAATGAAGTGGGACCTGATTGACATCAAGGGAAAAGGCATGGTTGAAAGGACGCTTATCAGGTCTGGGTTTGGTCTGTGCCGGGATGGGAGAACACCCAGGAACACCATGTAAACCATCTTTATCTCCATTGTGGAATAGAAATGTGATGATGATGATGATGATGATGATGATGATGATGATAATAATAATAATAATAATAATAATACTTGACATTAAGTTGCCTTAAATATAAATGACCAGAGCACATGCATGCATTGCCACAATTAAGCATAGCAGATGGAGGGCTGAGAGAACAGTAAATCTGAAGAAGTATTGGTACAGATGGGACAAAGGTGGCATGCTCATATCTCCATACTCCCTCCCCAAGGAGTCATGCTCTACCCATCTTCTCCCATTTCCGTCCATGCTTTGAACATTCTCCAGCTCCAGTGTAATTAATTATGTGCTCTTGAAGCCCACTTTGCTTCCAAAGCAAAGTACTTTCTATCTGTAGCTCTTGACTGCATCCATTCTTGCAATAGCCTGACAACCTTCCCCAGCCTAGTGCCCTCCAGATGTTTTGGGCTGCAGTTCCTGTCAGCTCCAGCCAACTGAGATGGAGAGTTGCAGTCTAAAAGTTTCCACATTTGTGAAATAGTCCACTGAAAGGGGAAATGCCTAGCTCCATGTTGCCCTTGATTAATTGTCAGCTGGGTCACTTGCCAGAAGACTTATCCACCATGCATGAATTCTTGAATGTGGGGTGGAATGTTTAATTTCTTCTTAATTTTGAGATATAAATATGGATATGCTGTTGTTGGGATGTCTAATAAGTCACATGAATGAATTTTGCTGGACATAACTTTTCAGTGATTTTGCCATATTTTTATTATTATTTTTGGTCCCAGATGGATATTTTGCTTAAGAGAATGTAGTTATCTTTGTTTTATAAATACACACCCCCTCAATCCATATCCTTTTGAATTTTACCAGAAAAGTGAATAACTGCGCTGGCTATACATTTTATAATGAAAGACATTATTGATGATTATTTTACTTGCTGTATTTAGGGACCATCCTTCCACCATAACTGCCCCCAATGTGGTTTTACAAAAAAGAAAAAGAGATTTCAAAACAGTTCACGCAATTACAGTCTTAAAAATAAATCTAGCAATCATTTGGCAAAAATAGCAGCAGTCAAATAGGAATAACAGCAGGAGAGTCAAAACAGAGTGTCAGAACAAGTAACAGTACAATAATAACTATTAATTTCATTTCTGAAGGCAAAAAAATAGAGAAGAGTATTGTAGTTGCATGTCACAGAACGCCCCATTTCTTGCTTAGGTAGGCAGCCTGTTGTTCCTAATTTCAAAAGACTTCAGCAAGCAGTCAGTTCAGATCTCTTGCAAGAGTAATCTGCCCCATGTCCAATAACTTGCACAGTGTGAAGGCTTAGGTGGGGGAGAGAGATAATAATAATAATAATAATAATTTTTATTTATACCCTGCCCTCCCCAGCCAAGGCCGGGCTCAGAGCGGCTTACAAGCAATAATAAAAACAAGATGAATGATTAAATAGATGTCAGAAAAAGAGGGGCAGACACATACTTTGCATGGTGTTCTAGACCACTGCTTGCTTTGGTCCTACCCAGCATGTAGCCCTTGACAGATTACCTCGAGCTCTGGTTTCTTGGAAATGAGCAGCATGCTTGTGCACACTGCCCGGTTGCTCTTGCTTCATTTCTCCCTTGGCACAAGCACAAAAAACAAGCATGACAAACAAGCATGACTCCCTACCACATCTGAGCCAAGGATTGTGGTGTCTCCAAAATAAGTGAGTATTCATAAGCCAATAACAAGCCATTTTTAAAGCTGGCTAGTGCTCATAGCTTTTAAAGGAGAAACACCTGTGATTCAGATGTTTTGAGAAGTGAAGCTTAATTGCAGTGTCCTAGTCTCTTCTTCCACTGACTATGGGATAGGAATGAAGGAGGAATGAGCAGGTAAGGAGCAGGAGTTGATTAAGAACCTAAGAACAGTCCTGCAGGATCTGGCCAAGCTGTCATTCTAGTCCAGCATCCTGTTCTTACAGTAACCAGCTAGATGCTTGTGGGAAACCAGCAAGCACAAGAGTCCTCTCCCTTCCTGTGGTTTCCAACAACTGCTATTCATGAGCATTGCTGCTTCCAGCAATGGAGGTAGAATGTAGCCATCATGACAATTCTTGATGCTCAGAAGATTGCTTCCCAGGAGAAGGACAAGCATGATCCAATCTATGCTCTGTGTACAGGAGTGGAATGCCCGCAGTTCTTCACATGTGGGAGATAATGGTTCAGTGGCTAGGCAAATTGGCTCACAGAGCTACATTCCAAGGTTTGACTTTAGTGAAAAACTATTGACCTTTACTGAACAATGATAATAAATTATTTACATTGATTTTGTCACAAAGATTAAAAAAGTTTTTACAAAATTTCATTCATGATCAATGTGGCTACTGGTCAAGAGACGGCACCTGGAACACATTATGTATTTTGGAATATCTGAATTGCCACAGTGAGAAGCAAGCTGCTTTGATATTTTGGAATGCAGAAAAAGCCTTTGACAATGTGAATTGGGTATTCTTGTTTAGAGTATAGCAAGAAATGAACTTTGGAGATAACTTTATTAAATGGGTAATACGTATTTATACACCACAGAAAGCCCAGATAATTGTTAATGGAGAACTGATAAAACCATGCAAAATATAGAAGGGGACAAGGCAAGGGTGTCCATGGTTCCCACTGCTTTTCATTTTGGTCTTGGTAGTCTTGCTTAGAGACATTACACAATATGAGAGAATGATGAGAGTAAAGATCCAAAAAGAAACTTATAAGTAACAGGCATTTGATGGAAACTTGATGTTAGTTCTGGAAAATCTGCTACAGGGAGTAGAGATTCTGATGGATAAACAAATTTTGATATGTTACCAGGCTTTAAGGTTAATCACCAGAAAATGAAAATGTTAATAAAGAATATGACAACAGAAGATCAGAAGGTTTTGTTGGAGAAACCAGGGCTGCAAATTGGAAAAAGTAAAATATTTGGATGTTGTTATGTAAAATGTGAATTGTATGTTGTTTCAAAATAATTATGTTAAGACATGGGCTGAAATTTTGAAAAATATGTCAAGGTGGGAAGCTAAAAATGGGTAGAATCTCAGTGATAAAGATGAATGTTTTGCCTAGAATGATGCCTTTATTTCAAACAATACCTATTTTGATTAATGATTTCTGTTTAAACAATGACAGAAAGATTAATCTAAGTTTTTATTGCAGGAGAAAAAGCCACAAGTTAAAATCTAAGTATTGCAAGATGCAAAGGATTGGGTTTACCTGATTTGAAATTGTACTTTGCAGCTTGTTGCTTAGGGTGGAAGAAGAAATGGCTGACATTGAGAAATAAGAGACTTTTGGAACTAGAAGGATGTGAGTTGAGGTTTGGATGCCATGGATATTTGTGGTATGTTAAAAAGTTAATGTGGATTTCAAAAATAACTTTATTAGATGTGCCTTATTAAGAGTCTGGAATAGATATAAACCTAGGTTATGTACAAAGACATTGTTATGGATTTCACCACAAGAAGCCTTTTATAGAAAAGAGGTGACAGGCAAAGAGAAATGGTTAACCTATCAAGACTTCTTAGAGTGGAACCAAGGAGATGGTAAAATTAAAACAAGGGAACTTTTAGCACTGGAAGGTGATAGCTTCCAGTGGTTTTCTCATCTACAACTAACGGAGATTCAAGCTGGATAAAAAGACTTTGGTGTAGAACAAAAAACATTTTGAAATACAGTTGTGTACAAATGATGAACATGTTGCAAAAATGTATAAACTTTGGTTGAAATTGAAATTTAATCTAAATGTGGAATTTTTTTTGGTTGTAATAGATGGAACATGTGGATGAAAGTGCTAAGATTTACATTGTGTTATGGTCTTAAAGATTTTTTAAATATAATGATGTATCAGTGGTATACAGTCCTACCTTGATTTTCTAACAGGATGTGTTCCGGAAATCCGTCCAACTTCCGAAATGTTTGGAAACCAAGGCACGGCTTCTGATTGGCTGCAGGAGTGTCTTGCAGTCAATTGGAAGCCATGCCAGATGTTCAGCTTCCAAGGCAAAGTTCGTAAACTGGAACACCTACTTTTGGGTTTGCGATGTTTGAGTTCCGAGTTGTTTGTGAACTAAGTTGTTTGAAAACCAAGGTACAGTGGTACCTCGATTTACGAACTTAATCCGTTCTGGAAGTCAATTCTTAAACCAAAACCATTTTTAAACCGAGGCGCACCTTCCCTAATGAGGCCTCCCGCCGCCGGTGCCCTTCCACCATTCAGATTCCGTTCTTAGACCGAGGTAAAATTCTCAAACCAAGACACTATTTCCGGTTTTGCAGAGTTTGTAAACCAAATCGTTAAACCGGACTGTTCTTAAACCGAGGTACCACTGTACAACTGTATAACTCTGGCAAAGTTATATTCGGAATGTATAAAAATGTTCCAGATGTTTGCTGGAAGTGTGAAAAATATGAAGGGACATATTACAGTGGTGCCTCGCAAGACGAAATTAATTCGGTCCGCGAGTTTTTTCGTCTAGTGAATTTTTCGTCTTGCGAAGCACGAAATCCCATAGGAATGCATTGAAATTCAATTAATGCGTTCCTATGGTCAAAAAAAGTCCAAACAAAGCCAAATTTGGTACAACAAGAGCTTATTAAGTGCTCTTTAAAGTCACACATACTGTAAAGAGCATTTCAAAAATTGAAGGAACAATAAATTAAGTTTCTAAACATGACAGAAAAACATTTAAAAATCAACAAAGTGTACAGTACATTTTCTAAGACTCTGGGGACAACTCGAAGAAGGTTCCTCTTCCACTCTTTGCTTCTTGCTGAAGAACCTGTCCATGGTCTGCTGCTTCATCTGCCTTTTCAGCACCTCCCTGAAAGGCGACATGACCCTCGTATCAAAAGTGTTCGCAAGGTCATGTGCCACGTGCTTGTCAGGGTGGTGCCGCTGTGCAAAAGCCTGCACATCCTTCCACTTCAGGCAAATGTCCCTCAGTTCTTTGGAGGACAGCCGTTCCTCAGTTGCTTCCTCCTCTTCCAGCGAGGCCTGCTCCTGCGCAGCCTCTGCCTGCAGTTCGACCAGCTCCTGGGTGGTCAGCTCGTGGTCGTGCTCCTGCACCAGCTCGCTGATGTCCTCCTCTGTGACCTCCAGGCCCATGGTCCTCCCCAAGGCAACAATGTCCTGCACCACTGTTGACTCTGGTGCATCAGAGTCACTTGGTGCCACACAGTCCGGCCACAGGCTGCTCCAAGCGCAATTCAAATTTCTCTGGCTGATCCCGTTCCAGGCCGTGGTGATCATCTTCAAGCAGGTGACGATGTCGAAGTGGTCCTTCCAGAATTCCCGCAGGGTGATGGTGGTGCAATCAGTCACCTCGAAGCATCGCCTGAAAAGCTCCTTGGTGTAGAGTTTTTTGAAATTGGTGATGACCTGCTGATCCATCGGCTGGAGCAGTGGTGTGGTGTTAGGCGGCAGGAACATGATGCTGATGAAGCTGAACTCCTCCAACAAGTCCTCCTCAAGGCCTTTAGGATGAGCAGGAGCATTGTCCATCAGAAGCAAAGCCTTCAGCGGCAGGTCATTGTCCAGCAGGTAATGTTTGACAGCAGGGTCAAAAGCAAGATTGACCCAGTCCACAAACAGCACACGTGTGACCCAAGCCTTACTTGTTGGATCGCCACATGACACTCAGCTGCTCCTTGTCGACCTTGTGTTTCTTGAAGGCCCGTGGGTTCTCCGAGTGGTACACCAGCAGGGGCTTGATCTTCAGGTTGCCGCTTGCGTTGGCACAGAAGAGCAGGGTCAGACGGTCCTTCATGGGCTTGTGGCCAGGCAACTTGGCCTCCTCCTGTGTGATGAAAGTCCTTTTGGGCATCCTCTTCCAAAACAGCCCGGTCTCGTCGCAGTTGAAGACCTGCTGTGGAACGTAGCCCTCTGTCTTCACAACCTCCAGGAACTCTGCTGCAAAGTCTTCAGCCGCAGAAACATCAGAACTGGCAGCCTCTGCATGCCTGACCACGCTGTGGATTCCAGATCTTGTCTTGAACCGGTCAAACCAGCCTCTGCTTGCCTTGAAGACTTCTGGCTCGCCTGAGGTTCCTGGCTGTTCCCGGACGAGGTCTGCGTGCAAGGCCTTGGCTTTCTCACAAATGACGGCCTCAGTCACTGTGTCCCCTGCACGCTGCTTCTCTTCTAACCAGATGAGCAGCAACTTCTCCACCTCCTCCAGAACAGCTGGGCGGTTCTTCACGATCCTGGTGACTCCCTTGGCTGCATCAGTCGCAAGGATCTAATCCCTCATCTTCAGGATGGTCCCGATGGTCGATGGATTCCTCCCGTACTCCCTGGCGAGGTCTGTCACACGCATTCCACCGTCGTGCTTCCAGATGATCTCCTTCTTCATTTCCAGCGTAACCTTAGCCTTCTTTCCCTCGCTGGCCTCTGCAGCAGCAGTCTTCTTGGGTCCCATGGCAGCACAGCTCCTACCTGCGCAACCCCAAAAAAGTAATAATAATCAGTGCTTCACATCCAAAAAATTCAAAACCACCCAGCCACCCACCACACAGAAATTCAAACCCAGATCCAAGTCATTGAATTCCAAACACCCCAACCCAAAATCCAAACCCCCCCAAAAAAGTTTTAAAAGTTTAACTTACCGAATGGCTGCAAAAGAAGTTTTGGAAAAGCTTCAAAAATCACCAAAGTCTTCAAAAACCTCAACTATTCCCCCAGCCACCCACCACACAGAAATTGTAAACCCCTCCCCAACTGTTCCCCCAGTCACCCACCATACAGAAATTCAAACCCAGAATTTTTTTTTAAAAAACAGCAGAGTGGCCCAATGGTCACAGAAAATCATAAAAATGCAGAAAAAAACCACACAAGCTTCCAGATTCTTGCAAACCCCTCCCCAACTGTTCCCCCAGCCACCCACCACACAGAAATTCAAATCCAGAATTTTTTTTAAAAAGCATAGTGGCCCAATGGTCTAAAAAAAAATCATTATAATGCAGAAAAAAACACACAAGCTTCCAGATTCTTGCAAACCCCTCCTCAACTGTTCCCCCAGCCACCCACCACACAGAAATTCAAACCCAGATTTTTTTTTTAAAAAAACAGCAGAGTGGCCCAATGGTCACAGAAAATCATAAAAATGCAGAAAAAAACACACAAGCTTCCAGATTCTTGCAAACCCCTCCCCAACACCAAGTCCTTGAATTCCAAACACCCCAACCCAAATTCCAAAACCCCCCAAAAAAGTTTAACTTACCAAATGGCTGCAAAAGAAGTTTTGGAAAAGCTTCAAAAATCACCAAAGTCTTCAAAAACCTCAAAAAAGGCTACCACACCGCGTGCTATGAGTTGCTCCTCGAAGTCAAGTCGCAACTGCACCTCTTCAAGCAGTGCACCCTGGGTATTAACGGTTTTACGAAAAAGGAAACAAACTTGCAAGACGTTTTCGTCTTGCGAAGCAAGCCCATAGGGAAATTTGTCTTGCGAAGCAGCTCAAAAAACGAAAAACCCTTTCGTCTAGCGAGTTTTTCGTCTTGCGAGGCATTCGTCTTGCGGGGCACCACTGTATCATGCTTGGTGTACTTGTAAAAAAGCTAAGAAATATTGGATACAAATTCAGAAGTTTTTAAAGGTTAAAATTCAATTGAAGCCAGAATTCTTCCTGCTAAAAATAATGGAAATACAATTAGAAAAGGACCATGAAACATTATTTCAATATATGATTACAGCAATGAGATATGCACAAAGATTCATCATTACCTACTATGGAGGAATAGTTGTTAAAATTATTGGACTTAGTTCAGATGGTGAAGTTGATGTGTTGAAATTTACTAAAGATTGTTATAGATTTTTGGCGGGAAAGAAAATGAGCATGTGATATCTGGGTTTGAGGATTGAAGAAATTAGTGGTCTAGAGGAAGTGGAATAATTGGGTGGATCCACTTGGAGTGGATGTTTTGATTAATTCTCTATAGCTGACAGACAAAAATGGGAAATTATTATTTTTTCTTTTCTTTTTTCTTTGTGTTTTTATTTAGATTAGTTTTTTTATCTTTGAAATTATAAAAAGATATTGGATATACGGTATTAATTTTTGTATATCTTTTTTCAAACTTCAATAAAACCTCTTGGAAAAAAGAACATGTTAGCAGTCTTTATTCTAGATTTACATCTGTGCTGAAAGAGAGGAGAAGCCAGAATATTTAGGATGGTTATCACCTAATTAAACGGAGAAGTGACTTATCCCATGAGTTTTAGTTGAGTAATTATTAAATTTCCATATGGAAGAAAACAATATTTTGGAAAGAGAATAGGGAAATTGTTCTTGAACAGTAGGCTTCAACCTTTTCAGACCTAGGACCCACTTTTAACCCAAGCATGCATTTGAGGACCCATTTATTAATCTTTAACCATATATTTATATGCTGGTAGTGCTCCTGTTGCAACCCTTCTTGGATCAGGCCCACCAGTTGAATATCAGTGTTCTAGATGATGCATGAAGCATTGCATTCTGCATGGGAGATAAAGGAGGCTTTCTCCTTAAGATGGTACATGCACTCTTCAGTGTTTGTAATTATACAAGCAATAGAAATTAAAGGTAACATGTTTTAAAAAACAATTCTGGGGCATTTTTTCATCAGTCATAAGTTTTAAATTGCTTTGTCTTAACATACTAAGGCTGCAATCCTATATACTCACTTTCCTTACTTCTTCCCAGACATACAAATAATTAAGCTGTGAATTTTGCTGCTGTAATTAGCTGCTTTGTTTTAAACTATGCATTTCTTTTTGAAGACTTTTGTCTGTAAATACCTTCTGGGACTCTTTAAATCGTTGAAGTGAAAATAGACTGACAAAACCCAACATTTTACTCAAGGCTATGTTCACACATAGAATCATAGCACTAAGCCATAAAGGAGGTGTAAGGAACCTCAAGCCTGGGGGCTAAATGTGGCTCCTCGGTCTTCTCTGTCTGGCCCTCAGCAGTTTCCTCAGGCCACACTAGCCATACCCCTCACTGGCCTGCTCCATGCTCTTGAGGGTTTTGCCTGTCTGGAATATGTCCTAGAACTCTGACCATACCTCTTCCTTTCCTGGATAGAAACTAGTCTGCTGTACAAAAGTAACATTTACATTTGTTGTTCTGGCCCTGCTCACTAGTGATTGTTGTTGGGGGCGAAACAAACCATGATCCCAGGTTCTGATATCTATATCATTTGTGGTTCATTTACCCGCTTGCGCAAAGAAGGGAATGAAGCGGGAGCACATGGGCAGTTCACGGTGTGACTTACTAAACATTATGATTTATTGTTACCTGCAAACATGGCCAAGAAGTGGCAATTTATATATTTTACTCAGAGCAGTGTCTTAAAAAAGAGCAGGGAAAAAAAGAGCAAGGCTTCTGCATCCTTGAACCACAAACAGAGGATGTGCCTTCAGAATCTTTACAGTAAGGTTTTATATGTGCCAAGGATAATAAATCAGTTCTAACTTTGCCCATGAATGGATTTCATTGCACTGTAAAATGAACTGTTGTAGCAAAGCAATTACTCTGTGAAAGATGGGAGAGAACAAGAAGTTCTTCAGCAAATAAAGTAGGAAAGGAGGCTTTAAATAACTGGATGAAGTTTTGTTGCATCTCATAGTAGTAAAGTAACATGGCAAGTGTGTGCTTTGTACTAAGAACCTGGGTCTGGTTTAGATCCAGCCTTTTTGAGCTTTAAGTGCAGCTATGAGTCACTTGCTTCTGATAAGACTCCTCCAGGGCCTGTGAAGCTGGTTTCATGTGGACATTCTATAGACAATTTTTACGATCTGTATATAGTGTTATTCTTAAATCCCCCTCTTCAGGAGTACTAACATACTTGTCAAATAAACCAGTATCCTGCATTCTTCCATGTCTGGCTAAAGATGGTTGTTGCTGGTTTTCTTAACAGCTTGCTGGCTTGGGCTAGGCTCTGTCACTGAATTGCTTTTTGAAGTAGTTTGTGCTTGTAGAATTCAAACTGGAAAATACAGCAGTCTATATATGGACTCTGCATCGTGTGCTGTTGTTTTGACTTCTCAGCCCTGCTGGTTTTCTGGTAGTCTTTGGCCTTGGCCTTTTCTCTTTAGGGTCTGTTGGATTTCATACCTGATCCTTCTGCCCCAAGGATTTGTATGACGAAAGCTGCGTGGGAAATGCATGTTTGTTCTCCTGAGCAAGAGACTGTGTTTTGGTTCTGCGGCAGGCTGCCTCCCACAGTCACATTCTTATCATGGGTGTATGAATGAAGTTGGAAAACACTATGAAGCAATGTGAACACCCAGTTACCTGCTCAATTTTCAGGGCTTTGGAATGTGTCCCCTAGGAGCTGCTTCTTAAGCAAAATGTAATATCTATTTAAGTGTGTATCTCAAAATACAATGTGTAAATGAAACAAATAAGCATAAAACATTTTGTTTTAAAGACTTCCCTAAATTGGCTGAAGCTCCTGGTATGTATGAAGTTTAGTTGCAAAGGTGGGTTGGTTTCATCTTTATAAGTAGAATGGCCCTCAAGTACAGCATTCAAAATCCTCCAGGCGCCAGGCACATTTTGCAACTGGAATGTTCTGTCATGGTCATGTGGGCCCTCATCTGTAGCCACATGTGGTATAAGCAAGACATAACTTGGCCACCTCATTGCTGTCTGTGAGAACTGAGTAGTTGTGGGTTGTTGTCTTCCTTTGTGGTTGGGGTAGAGTTGATTGTGTTATGTTTTACTGGACTATTGATTTTTGTATTTATTCGGATGCTGTTTTTGATGACTTAGGCATTACCTGGAAAAGCAGATTAGAAATATTTTTCAAAATAGAAACACACGCACACACAAAACCTGGGTCCTCCTGCCCCTGCCTCTAGATTCAAGTGGTACAGCCCAGATATAGGAAGGTCAGCCACTTCAGGAAGAGCTAGGCCTTGCAGGAACTTGCACTAGATACCAGCTGGCTCCAAGCCCCCAACCCCCTGGCCTTAAATAACCATTTTCTAATCTAAAGGCCCTGTAGCACATTATGTTTTGTGGCCAGCCTGTGCAATCCTTCAGATGCTTTCTGAAACATTTAGCTAACCGCTGCCCTGTCATTTTCCTAGGAAACCATCATGTTCCCCGTAAAGGTCACTTCTGCTTGCTCCTTGCCTCCTGTTGGTTATTAATTTTATTAAATGCATGTTGCCCACAGCTTGTTCTTCAAATAAAATAGCACTTTAAAAAGGTGCATTTAAAATAGAAGTGAAAGAAAGTTGCGCCTGTCACTTAGGGTGAACAATTGGCCTTGGATTCTGAAATGACTGGAGTGCATTAATACTAGCTGCTGGAGCAGCAGCAGCAGGCTTCTTCAAAATAACAAAGCTTTCTGGTTGTGGTGGTTGGTTTTTAATGGAAATAAAGCCTATCTATAGACACCTGTTACACTGAAACTAGTGTTCGAAATTAGCCAGGCATCAGGTGCATTTAGCACCTCATTATCGGCCACTTGTGACCAAGTGACGATGCCTAGGCACCAGGATGGCAGCTGACATCTCCACCATCAGGAGGTGCGTGCCTGGGGATTCTTGGATCTTGACTGTTTTCACACACTAATCCTGTAGAATTCTATCAGTTATATTTTAGCTGCACAATCAGTATGAATTTCAGGAACCTAAATGCAGTGAACAATGTTATAGTTAATTGTTGTAGCTTGTCATCACTTACCCCACCCCACTGCCCAGCTTACAGTTGTGAAGAGGGCACATGGGTAAGAGCACCAGAGATGCTAGTATGTGCTAGTTGCCCCATATTTCTTCGAGCTTTGAATATATGCCGTTTGGACAGGTGTGTAGTACCATCTGTGGATCATTTTCAAAGAGTTATCCTTAATAATTGCTGATACAGTTAAAATGGTTTAATGAATAAAATTGCATTCTATAATGCTTTATCAATCTGCTCTCTCAAAACTGTCTACCACACGGCACGTAAATTTGCAACAGAAGTGAACATCCCTCCTCGGAGCATTGTATACAGATGACTGGCATCTTATGCTTTGGGATAGCATGTAAGGCTGAAATCCTGTATAGTCAAAACAACCTTTTAAAAACTGGAAAATGGTGTGTAAAAAGCACAGTATAGCACTTACTGGTGTATGATGACTGTTTTTAAGCTCTCAAACTTACTGAAGAAAACCTGGTGCAGAAAGAGCTTTTAAGCTCTCTGCTGTCTGTGCATTTAATTTGTGTGATTTCAACTAGCCAGGCTTCAATTGCGTAAAGTTGAAATCACATAGTCTTATCTGTGCACAAGTTGCAAGTCACCTCTATATCCTTGATATTTTACTCTTAAGACAGGCATTTAAATTTAGGCATAGTAAATTTTGTTGACAGTTTTTGATGTATAAGAGGTGATAAGTTGTAATAAAAATCTTTACATGAGACCAGCTTGTGTGAATAATCTAGAAAGCGGCCTTTACTGTAGGACTGAACAAAGGATGTTCATGCAAAGTCAGAAGGAGCGATAAAGTAGGGAGAACAAAGACTCTTTCTTTGTTTCTTGTTCTTCAAACTGGAGATACTGAGTAGAAGATCAAAGTTTGCAACCTTGAGTTGCTGAAGTTGAGCAGATAGGTGAATTCCAAAGTCAAGGTTCTCTGACACAGTTGTTTTAACTTCTTGCAAAAATGATTTGAAGGCAGTTAGTTAGATTTCTTAAATGTTTTAAACATTAAACCAGCTCTTCTGAGAAGCCCTTAAGTTGCTGGAAATACTATTCTGCAAATTCCTTTTATATCAATGTCACAAGGCTTTCTCTCTCTGGCTTTCTTGGTTTCCTGCCTTGGCAGTCATATTGGAGGCCTTGTTTGGTGACAGTAGCAGTCTTCCAAGTGGGACAAGTACCTGAACAATAAGTTGTGAGGAGTTTCTTGCATGTGAGCAATAGCCCCAAAGGTAGTCCCAACAAAGGATGTGAAATGTTTGGTGACTCCGGTTGTTTTAGCATGATTAGGGGAGCTACATTTGTGGTGAGGGTCAGAGCATGCTTCCATTTAGCTCATGAGACATCACTCCCTCTTCCCTAGGTTCAATTCCTGACATCTCCAAATAGGAGATTCCTGTCTGAAACCTTGAAGAGCTCCCCCCAATCAGTGTAGAGCAGACTTCCCTAACCTTGTGTCCTCCAGATGTCTTAGACTGCAAGTCCCAACTGCCCCAGTCAGCATGGTCAATAATTAGGGGTGATGGGAATTGTAGGCCCAAACATCTTGAAGGCACCAGATTGGGGAAGCTTGATGGAGACAGTGTTCTAACTAGATATTAGGCAGCTTCTTATTTTCCTATATAAGAGTGCATTCTTCTCCCTTTCTCCCACTTGGAAAAAAATGTGTGTGAAGTGTCTCTCCATGACCTAAATTGCTTTACAGACAATTTCATTAAATTGGCGGGGTTTGGGGGCACTTTATGTAATGACACAGTCTTCCATTAGCTTTTGGGGTTACAGGAAACCCTTCTGTTTCAGTACCTCTTGGGAAAAAGTGCTCATGTTGGTGCAAAGTTCTTGTTGAGCTAGGGCTGGGGAGACCAAGCTAAGATCTCCACTTAACCCTGAGAGGGCCTTCTCAATGTTTGCTCCCAGACTTTGGAACTCCCTTTCTAGAGAAGGTAGACTGCCTCCCTCCTTGGTGTCCTTCCACTGGCAGGTGAAGACTGTTTTATTCTGATTGGTGTTTTGGAGCTGACTTATTTTTAAGGAAAGGACTCTCTGCTGTGCTTTTTTATTATTTGTATTTTAACAGATCTTTTTTTTTTATACTGTTTTAACTCTAGTGGAGTTTACTGACTTCCTGATGATTCTGTTTATTGGATTCTCTTTTAGCTTTTTGTATTTTATCTGGGTTTTTTAAATTTATGTAAGCTTCCTTGAGACCCAGTCTGCGGAAAAGGTGAGATGATGATGATGATGATGATGGTATTCCTCTGTGGATCATCTTGAGCCAATCACTATTTGTCAGCCTTTCCTACCTCACAGGGTTATTGTGTGGGAGTGAAGAGAGAATCATGTATGCTGCCTTGAGATCCTTGTGGAAAGGTTGCAATATACATGCATACATTCGTAAGGACATATATGTTGCTTTGACTTTGCATCTGTGATGCCATATACCTGCCCTGTTCAGTAGATCTTAAGGGCATTTTAATCACAGTTTAGCACATGGTCTAAGAACATCTTATGTCTGCAGCATTTGCAGAACTAGAAAGCTGTAGACAAGATCACCCCGTTTGAGAGACTACTGGGAACATCATATAACAACAGAATATTCTATACAGTGGTGCCTTGCAAGACAAAATTAATCCGTTCCGCGAGTCTCTTCGTCTTGCGGTTTTTTCATCTTGCGAAGCACGGCTGTTAGCGGCTTAGCGGCTATTAGCGGCTTAGCGGCTTAGCAGCTATTAATGGCTTAGCGGCTATTAACGGCTTAGCGGCTTTAAGAAAAAGGAAACAAACTCGCAAGAACTCGCAAGACGTTTTGTCTTGCGAAGCAAGCCCATAGGGAAATTCGTCTTGCGGAACGACTCAAAAAACGGAAAACTCTTTCGTCTAGCGAGTTTTTCGTCTTGCGAGGCATTCGTCTTGCGGGGCACCACTGTATCTCTGTGTGTAATCATTAATAATTTCTCTGGAGCCAAGTGAGGATTCCCAAGTAAGATCCTCCCTCTATTGTGTGGGCAGGTAATCCCTCCCCTACCTGTCCTGGTCTCCTTGGCAACGCTTCCCCCAGGTGGGATTGGACAACTGACAGGTAGGCGGAGACCTCCAGGTATCCCACCTGAGGGAAGGCAAAGCCAAGCCTATGCTGATGGAGCCACTCCAGGTCTAGGGGCTGCGCGCGTCCACGCAAAGGGCGCCCCCCGTTTTAAGCGGGGAGCAGTCATTCTATATCTCTGTGTGTATTCATTAATAATTTCTTCTTGCTTAGAGATGCAAATGATGGAAGCCTTTCCCCCCCTACTCTTTTCCTTTGTCTTCCAGGGCTCCAGTGCGTCTGCTGTGGAGAAAGAGATTGGTGTAGAACAGATTCCTGGGGATGAAAATTACTTTGGCTTGGTCAATGTGAGTAGCTTTTCTGTGTCTGGGTTTGTATTTGATAATACCTTCTTACTTCCACCTTTTGGATTCTAAAATGAAAAATATTTGTTACTGAGCAGTTTCAGTCCGTGGGTGCTGCTACTGATACAAAATTGAAAGAGGCTTAAATTAGCACCGTGTGATGGGCAAGCTCCATCTTTTTATCTATATTTATTTTATGAGCTTAAAAAAAGCAAACTAAAGAGAGTTGGTTTTTAAATATCTGTTGCTTTCCTTTTGGGGCAAATGCTAAGTATTTACAAAGACATGCTAGAGTAGAGATTACATTTCAGCGAAACTTTTTACCGTTGATGTATTGTAATTATTATTTTTTAAGTTTATAGACCACCCTTCATCCAAAGATCACAGGGTGGTTCACCACTTAAAAATACAAAATGAGAACACAAAATACACAATAAAACAAAAACAAACCAATAATACCCCCCAAAACACACTTAAATAGCTGTAGAATGTTGAATCAGTCAGAGGCCAGACTGAGCAGGATTTAACCACTCACCTGTCAGCTGTTAAGTGGGGATTAAGTCCTGCTGGGAAAAGGCAACCACAACAATGCAAAATTCAGAACCACTCTCCTGCCCATCAGCTGATGTGATGTTATTTGATTGGCAGGTGGGCACGGTTGAGGAAATTGTCCAAATTGGACCTCTTATTGAGATAGTCTTGACCTATGGCTGCCTCCCAAGTAGTTTTATGTATTTAAAAGTCTTTTTTCAACTGTTTAATATTTAATAATCTCTAAGTTGTATCCAAATGTACAACATAAAAACAGTAAGACAGTATCAATAAAACATATATGTGACATAGAAACCATTAAAGCAATATTGCACAGATAAAAACAGAATTTCAATAATAGCAGGATCTAACCTTATGGGTCAGTGGAAACCTGGGCAGAAGGCTACATCTCCTGCAAGGAGTCAGAAGCAACTCATGGATGTTGTTTTGGCAAGGGAGAGGAAAGAGCATTTCATGCAAGGATAACTTGATTGAGTATTCCCTCAAAGGCGTAGTGTAGACTTCAAAACTTTTGTTCAGTTGTCATGTCAAATTGATGAAACTGGTGGCATGCTTTGTGACAACAATTTCAGGTGTGAAACAACTCTACAAGCTGGCTTGTCCTCCCTCGGGGTAGTCAACAGCCATTCTGGAACTTTGACATTGGGGGAGATGGAAGGCAAGCTTTGGTTACAATACAAATAGCAGGATAGCAGGAAGAGGATCCCCAAAAATGCTTCTTACCACCCGCAGTATTCACATGGACAAATGTTTGACATAATATTTCCTGCAGTGGTTTTTTGCTCCTCCTCCTGCCTTTTTTGGTCAGAAGGAGTTGCTTCTTCAGTTCTACTGTTTTATTATCCTTACAGTTCCTCCGTCATGTTTTGTAATGATTTGAAAGGCAGCATTACTTCCTGGAAGTGTGCCAAGTTTTAAAGGCTGCATTTCCACTTGTTATCTTTGTAGACGCATATGGGATGGCTGCGAGAGCCCATCACCGTGACGACTTGCTTCCTTTACAGCCGGGTTTTAAGCTCCGGGGCTAAAGCCTTCTTGCAGGTCTCTCAAGTGCTTTAGAGCAAGCTGAGGTTTTTGTCTGCTTCTTTGTTGCCTGTTTGGCTGTGTCTGAGATGTGACATGGGAGATATCATCATGAATCTGCAGGATTTAAGCAAATGCTAAACATTCAACTTTGAAGCAGGTGCAGAGCACTCCAGTTTTGATCAGTGCATTAGTATTAGAGGAGGTATTTAACCTTTTCTGACTTCGATGTTATCCTAATTTAAATTGCCTCTCTGAAGCTGTGAGCCCTGTAGCAGAGAAATAAAGAGGTAAGACATATAATAGAATCATAGAACTGTAGGTTTAGAAGTAATGTTCGAAACTCCCATTGTTCTAGGCGCATTTTGTGACAGGGAATTTCATTAGCGTGAGCAGTTTCTGAGCTCTGGGCACAATACTGCGCCTAAGATTTCAGATTAAAATTGCAGAGTGGAAGGAAAGGAGAACCTTTTTCTGCCTCCCCACTTCCAGCTACTTTCTGAAGACTGGAGAAGAGACCCCCTTAAGAATATTAGGGGGTGGGCAGGGGAAGGACTAGACCATGTGAAAAATTAACATAATATTTTAGCTGCAGTTCGTTCATTTTCAGCTTTGTTTCCTTGTTATAAAAAAGCACACCAGACATTCCATTGTTGTGCCCATAACCTACGTTTAAGGTGCCATTTAGGTCCTAGCTTTCATATCTCAGTTTCTACCACTGGTTGGAAGGGATCCTGAGGATCATTCAGTCCATGTACCTGTGTATTTTCTCTTTTTGGGTAGGAGGTCGGTTTTGTGCTGGACTAGATAGGCTTCTGGTCTGATCTAGCAGGCAGGAGGTGATCCACACTGCTCTAGGCAATTTATCTGTGTCTAGGTTTCAAGACTGAAACTCATTCAACAATACATGACTAGGCAATGCTCTAAGCACATTCATTGGCATCTCTAGAAACAGTGGTATCCAAGTCACTCTGGATGTGAATGATTCTGACTTCAAATTGCCTAACAAATAAGCAAGAATGGACCTCTATGGAATTTTCAACACCCACTTGCGGGCTGCCTTTTGGAAACACCTGTTGAGAAGGTATGGTCATATGGATCACATCTTGCCAGATCAAAAGAACTGCTCTGGCTGCAGGCCCATTTCTAAACTCATTCTAATGTACTACTTCTACTTTTGTAAGTCCCTAAATATGTTGAAAATGGATGTGGGTGGCGCTGTGGGTTAAACCACAGAGCCTAGGACTTGCCGATCAGAAGGTTGGCGGTTTGAATTCCTGCGACGGGGTGAGCTCCCATTGCTTGGTCCCTGCTCCTGTCAACCTAGCAGTTCAAAAGCACGTCCAAGTGCAAGTAGATAATTAGGTACCGCTCCTGCAGGAAGGTAAACGGTGTTTCCGTGTGCTGCTATGGTTCGCCAGAAGCGGCTTAGTCATGCTGGCCACACGACCCGGTACGCCAGCTCCCTCGGCCAATAAAGTGAGATGAGCGCCGCAACCCCAGAGTCGGTCACGACTGGACCTAATGGTCAGGGGTCCCTTTACCTTTAAATATGTTGAAACTAGTGTACATCTAGGCAGGTTCTCTTGCGTGAACCTGACTAGATATATTATGCCAAGAATGAATGAATATATATCTGTATATCTATATCTATATAGCTATATATATCTAGATACCGTACAGTGGTACCTCGGGTTACATACGCTTCAGGTTAAATACGCTTCAGGTTACAGACTCCGCTAATCCAGAAATAGTGCTTCAGGTTAAGAACTTTGCTTCAGGATGAGAACAGAAATCGTGCTCCGGCGGCGTGGCAGCAGTGGGAGACCCCATTAGCTAAAGTGGTGCTTCAGGTTAAGAACAGTTTCAGGTTAAGTACGAACCTCTGGAACGAATTAAGTACTTAACCTGAGGTACCACTGTACTTTTCCATGTATGACGAGCCTTTTTACTCAAAATTAATGTTGAAAATGGGGGGGTCGTCTTATACATGGATAGTGTAGAGGGGGGATGGGGGATTGGTTGCAGCCACGAGCAGGAGTTTGTTAGCGGCGATTGGGTGGGTGAATAGTGTCTGCTGCAAGGGCTGCTTTGGATTACCTGTTGCTGTGTAAATCGGATGGGTTATGTTTGTTTGCATCAAGGGCTGCTATGGATTGGCTACCGCTGTGGCAAGTGAGTGTGCGGTTGCTGGCTTCTGGTGGCGAGCCGGCATACACTTTGTGTGTTCTGTGGCGCATGCGATTGGTAGTGTTTGTCAGTTGGGTGGGTGATTATCGGCATATTTCCCCCCCCCCCAGCTCAATAACTTCATCCCCAAAATAAGCTCAACAACTCTGAGCCGTCTCCCCCCATTTTCTTAAATTGTAGTCCCCCAAAATAGTCTTATACACAGGGTCTTATACACACACCTAGGTATTATTATCACCCTTGGTGTTGATCTTCAGAGTTGAACCATGACAGGGCCTTATGAGTTGTGATTCCCCAGTCTTGGAATCAGGAAGGCTTGCCTGGCAACAGGACTGATGTCTTCTCTGCGTCAAGTGAAAACCTGTTTATGACCTTTTAGATATTTATGCTCTTTAGTTTGCTTGATGCTATAGAACATTAGGTGCTGTACTTTTATTGTTGTCTTTGTGTGCTTTTGAATTACTGCTCGCTGTTTGGAAAGCCTTCAGACGTGAAAAACAAGAAAAGAAAGTTTCTAAATAAGTTAACTAGCCTGCAAACACTTTTAATGGCGTTAAAATATTTGTATTACACGTTAATATTTGTATTACACTGATAGTCTGAAAGAACCAGCTCCTTATTTTTGCAATTTACAAAAACTTCTTCATTGCTAGAAATGACTGGGCAAGTGTAGATTTTTTCCCCTCTCCCCAAGTTTGAGGGGCTTTATTGGACCTGTGCACTCTATGTATGGGCCCTGTACAAATGTCTAGTGTTGGGCAGGGTAGATATGTTGGCCTAGCACTGGGTAGCATGAATCTTCCATTGGGGTTGCATGCTTTTATATCTCTAGGACCCTTATTGGAAGTTGAAAACTCGGATGCCACAGCTAGAAAATCATGCACCAGCAAGATCACTCCAGGCAGAAATAATTAATTAATTAAATGAAATACATTTCGCACACATTATTTGGCTGCATGATCTTGTAAGTTAGAGTTTTTCATTCGCAAGTACAGAAATGCTGCAGTTTTCACTTTTTTCCAGGGTGCCCTAATTATAAAACAACAGATTGGTAGGGAAGCAGTAACAGAATTCACAGAGCACCATAGGCATAGCCAGGATTTTTGTTAGGAAGGGGCAGGACTTTTGCTGGGGTGGGGGCAGAACCAACGTGATTGGTCAGTTAAGTATTTCTATTTTCACTTGATTAGGGGGGAGGGCGCTCAACTGCCCACCCCGCTTGGCTATGTCCATTCAGAGCACTTATTACCAGCAGGGACAATGGAGGGGAGTTTCGGTGGTATGTTGTGGTTTTTGCATATCACCTTTCTTCCAAGGCAGCTAAGGCAGTTCACAACATTAAAACACTAAAACAAATACATGATATAAAACAAAGACCCACAGAGGCCTCTCATGCCAATTGGGAGCTGGTGATATGTGTACTCCCTGACCACAGGCTGATATGTGTGCTCCTTGGCCTGTGGTCCTTCATTTCTGTTGGAGCATGCAGGTCTTCAGCAGCCGTAGGGTAGGAACTGCCACAACAGTTCTCTAAGCTGTTGGTCTTAGACCTTTTCTTTTGCAGGGATGGTGGCAAACATTATTTTTCCACCACTGTTGTGACCTTGGAGTGTTGTCCAGTGGGGTTTTTCCAGTTGGGGCCTCCTTCAGCTTGGCCCAGCAGATGATGTGAAGGAACCATCATGCTGTGACATGTTTGGCAGTGTCTTTGGGGGAGGGATGAAAGTGCCGTATGCAGAGTTATTACAACTAGCAAGCTGACTTCTGTTGATGTAGAAAGGGATCTAATTCTTCAGTGGCTTGAGGGTCAAGCATTCCAGGATGCATCCTTCCTTGCTAGATTCTGTATCTCATCAGCTCCTATCCTCCTTTTTTCCATGAAATGAGACAGCCTTCAAATGTGACAGATGCAAAACAGCTGCTTCTAGCTATCTCCGGCACATTGCCAATATATCCTTGTAAACAGGAAATGTGAACTGGATGTCTCATTTTGCCCCCAAAGGCATCTTTCCCTGTCAAACACCAGCAACTTTGAATTGTTTCCCACCCACCTATCCCCACTATAAGCTGGCCCAGAGGGAAAACCTCAGCCTGCTTGATTATTTGGAGCAATCATATCAGCTTCATGTTTTGGGGCGAGAGGTGGGTATTCTCAGCGGTACCACTGTGTGTCAGAAACCACAATCTTTGCCCTCCCCACAAGCCAGCTAGCTGCTTACTAGTCTTAACCCACGGCAAGAGCGTTGCGTCTGCTCCCTCTTGAGCGGCATCTAGCAGGACAACTGTTTTTTTCCCTTCTCTGCCAAACCACATCACAAGGCTTTACAGGGGGGGGGGGTTGTCTTCACCCAGGCATCTACAAGTTACACTAGAATTCCTCGTTTTAAATCTTATAAGTGTATCAGGATGAGGTTGAGGAAGGCTGACCAAAACGGGAAACACAACTTGTTTAACAGAGCTAGCAATTTTAAATGTTGCACCAATGACTTTGTTTCCACAGTATGTGCTATTTATTTCTGAGTTCTCCTCCTCCTCTGAGAGTGTGCATATGAGACTGAATTATACAGTCAAGCCATAAGTCCATTTAGCCAGCAGTTGCTTCTACACTGGCTAGCAGGGCTCTCTTTTTTCCCTGCCCCTTCAGCGGATTTGACTAGTTGACCTTGGGTTTCCATCCAGTTCTGTGATTCTGTTATTCTACCTCCTTCAGCTGGTGGGAGAGAAGAGATTGTGACCTGTGACTTTCTGCCCACAAACCAGGTGCTTTGCCACAATCTGTGCAATCAGGTTAGCCTTTCCAATGCTAGCAAAAATGTTTATTCCCCACTTGCTCAGCTGTTATGGAACTATTTTCAAGATCACAGGATATCTAATTTTAGACCTGAGCCAAAAGTTCTCTTGAGAATTCTTGGTTTGAAATTGTGGAGGGGGTTGAAGCTACACACACAGCTGCACCCTTTACCTTTTCTATTGTTGCTGGTTTCATTATGGGAGCTACTACCCACACTTAACTCCCCCCATTCCCCCCCCCTTGGAATATTGTTGCGCAATCATGTTGCATTGTTCCAAGGGGCATTCAGGGAGGGGAACATTTGCTGCCAAAACAAAGCTGCCTTTCCCCTCCAATCCCCCTCCCGTTTTTCGAAATATATTTTTATTGAATTTTAATAATGAATCGGTTTCAGGGGGTGGGGATAAAGAAAAACTGTTTTTTAAAAGTAAGTTGTCACAATTTCCAGGAAAAAAAATATAGGATACAGTTATGTGATTTACTAAGTGAGTACCAAGAGGAGGGGGACACGTGGTCTGTCATTGCTAAGGGATCCATGGCCTAAATAAAAAAAATATTTCTAAAAACGAAGATTGAATGAATGAATAAACTTTATTACAGTCACAGGCCAGTATAAGAGAAACATATGAATAAAATAGTTGATGAATAAGAATTGTTAATTAAAACAGATACAAACTAAAAGACACGCAGTTAAAACAAATATAAGGGTGGAGCTTAGGGGAATATCGGTCTTGCAATATGGGCCTTCAGTTTAGGACTGGTTTCTAGCACAAACCATCCTTGGGCGCAAGGATGACAGCGCAAAATCTAGCAACTGAGCATGGCAGCGCAAAATCTAGCAACTGAGTATATAACATCTGGGTTTTCATCCTGGAGTAGTAGGGAGATGTTGAGTTGTTTTGTGCATCCTGGGAATTTGTGCAGGATAAATCTGGCTCGTATGTCTACTGCAATGGAAAAGGGCATGATCTGTTGTTTCCTGCTGCCCGGAGCCCCATGGGCATTCCCTCTCCTCATATGGTGTCTTCCTATAACGTCCTTCCTGAATGGCTGAGGGGAGGGCCTGACAACAGGCCAGAGTGAAAGCCCTTCACTGTTTTGAGATTTCAAGGTTGGTTATATACAGTGGATGCGCAGGTTGCAATTCTGCGCATGCGCAACTGCCGAAACATGGAAGTAACCCGTTCTGGTACTTCCGGGTTTTGGCGGTCCACAACCCGAAAAAACGTAACCTGAAGCAGCTGTAACCCGAGGTATGACTGTATGGCATTTGGAAGGTGAGGTATCTTCTCGTTTCACTAATTAGAAATTTTGGGGACCTGGCTAGGCCAGCTTGGTATTCTGTGTCTTCCACACGCTGTTTAATATTTCTTTTAGGTTGTTCATGCCCCATGTCAAGTAAAATCTAGAGTTGAAGTCTAGAGTAGTTATTACATTTTTCACAGTTCGTTTCCATGTTGATTGGAAATCATCCTTAATAGTCAGGGGAGCAAGGCCACTCAGGAAGAAAGATAGTCTCAACCAGTAATTAAGAGTGGCAAGCCACACTCTGGCCTCAATTCTTATGGATCCAATTTCAAGACGTATGGTAGCATTGGAGACATGTTTAGGCACTTGTAGAAGACCATATAACAGCTGTGCAATCAATTTAGCCTCAAACAATTTGAGGGCTGCAGGTATATCGTGTCCACCTGAGGTACCTGAGGATAGCATTTGTGCTTCTGTGGGCATTCCCTGCAACATAGTCACCGTGGGCTTTTCTGCTTCCCGATGAATGTGGGGCTATACCCAGGTATTTGAAGCAGGTGACCTGCTCGGTCTTGTGCCCATTGATGAACCATGCACGTGGTTTGGGCCTCTTGGCAAAAAACACAGTTTTGGTTTTCTGGCAGTTGAGCTCCAATTGACCCTCCTTGCAATATGCTGCCAGTGTTCTCGAGAGGCTTGTTGCGTCATCTGCGTAAAGCAGTACTGGAATATGCTTTCCTGTGAGTTTTGGAGGGTGGAAATTCATATTGTGGAGGTGGGGAATCATATCATTTATATAAAAATTGAATAAAGATGGGGCCAATATTCATCCTTGCTTGACTCCCTTCTTGGTCTCTATTGCGTTGGATTGGTGGGAACATGGCACTTTTAGCAAGGTCCCTTCATGTAGTGTGCGTATTAAATATAGCAAGCATCTGTCAAGTGTGGAGGTCTCCAGTTTTTCCCATAGCTTTATTCTGGAGATGGAGTTGAAGGCTGCTCTGAAGTCGATGAAGGCCACATAGAGAGAGACAGTATTACTAGTTGAGTACTTCTCTATTAGGTGTTGGAGAACTAAGCCTTATAATATATATAATTATAATAATGGTTATGATACCATATTGGTCTGAATATAAGTCATACCCGCAAATAAGCCGCACCTTTAAAATTTGCTGGTGTGGCCCACCTCCTGGCACTACCGCCCTGAATGGGGGTTGGCCGGCCTTGGCGCCCTGCTCCCCATGCCGGTGCCAGTGCTCGGTTCCGCGCACGCTTCATGCCGGACTTCCAGCACTACCAACTCCTGGTACTACCTCCCCAAGCCGGCGCCAGCGCCAGCTGCCCCACCCCCACCCCCCATTCAGGGCAGTAGTGCCAGGAGCTGGGAGCGCAGCGCTCAGTTCTGAATATAAGCCGCACTTTAACTTTTCACAGTCAGAATTTGGGGGGCAAGTGCGGCTTATTTTCGGGGCAATCCGGTAAACAGATAATTTAAAGCTAGCCTCCATCCCATTTCATGAAATCACATGCATTGTGCAGTCAGCCTCCGTCATACTCTGCTTATTTCCCTCATGCCCTTTCACTGCAGCTAGTTCAGGTACTTTTTGCCTCCCTTCCCCCCCCCCCCCTTTTTAGTAGACCTTGAATAAAAATTCTTCTTTTTTTGCTCTCTTTCTCTCTCCCCACCCCCGCCCCCGGCTTTCTTTCATTTAGTTTGGCAATACCTGCTATTGCAACTCTGTTCTGCAAGCACTTTACTTTTGTCGTCCGTTTCGGAAAAAGGTTTTGGCTTACGAGGTCCAGCCGCACAAAAAGGAAACCCTTTTGACATGCCTCTCAGAGCTTTTCAACAGCATCGCCACACAAAAGACGAAGGTGGGGGTCATCCCTCCCAATAAATTTATTTCCCAGCTGCGGAAAGACAACGGTAACTAGACTTCTTTAATCTCCATGTCCACTTCAGTGTTATGCATCCTTGGGGGCCCTTCAGGTGTTACTTTAGTGGCTTGGGAGCTGCTTCCTAGAGGAACATGGAGATGGGGGGGGGGGGTGCAGAGAGGGTGATGTATTGGTTTGAGTGTTGAACTGGAATCTGGGAGACCAGAATTCAAATCCTTATTTGACCATGAAGCTCACCTTGGGCCAGTCACTGCCTCTCAGCCAAACCTACCATTAAGGGTTGTTGTGGCGATTAAACAAGGAGGAGAGAGCCACAAACAAACAAACAAACAAACAAGTTGTTGTTGTTGTTAAGTACCCGCCCTTCACCCTATTGTCCCAGAGCAGGTTACAATATTAAAGCACAACTGTAAGAACAGTTTAAAACAATTTACAATAACAAAAAGAAATCTGTAAGAAAGAATGGGACAGAAAAGGCCAAAAACAGCAGAGTGATGTGAGGTATGTTGGAGCCCTAATCTTATTGCAGGAGAGAAGAAGCCACTCACCAGTTCACTCTAGTTTGCTTTGTTATTCACCCCTCCCAATGCACACCCACAATAAAACATAAGTTAGAACTGTTTATAACTATTTATAACTATTTATAATTTAGATCCTGCTGAGATCAATGGGACAAGATGGCCATGGCTTAGTCCCCCGTTGAAATAAATGGGACTTGAGTACAGCTGCTTTAGCCTGGATCCTGCCCATTACCTGGATGTTGGAGATGGGAAATTAGCTGCTGATATGGCACTTGTTGACAAGTGCTGAAATTTATGATCCTGAAGGGATGGCATGAATGTACATATCCAGTGTTGAAAGAGTGGTTAATGGAAGTCTGGAAAATTAAAATGATGCCAAAATTAACTAAATTAAGAGACAACAGCCAACAGATAGCAACTTCTAATACTTTGTTCCCTTTTACTAATTTTGTGAACAATAGTGTACAGCCTGGATATTGAATGCTGAAACAGGGGAGTGTGTTTTCAAGAGGCATTTAAAAGTAACTACTGTGTCCACCACCTTCTGCCCTTGGGAGGGTGTCCAGAAGGTTGGTGCCCGTACTAAGAAGACCCACTCCCTAGGTGTCACAGGGCAGCATCCCAGGGGCTTCAGTATAGCCATCAAGGCTTTGTCTGAAGATCTTATCCATTGGCCAGGAATGTCTGAGGAGAAGTGGTATGCTAGGTATCCTGCTTCTAAGTTCTTTAAGACATTATATGCCTTAGTACTGGGAATCTCCATAGTGGATCCGCACTTTCTCTGCTAGATCTAATATATGCGTATAAAAATACATGCAGCAATCAATCCAGCTTAGTTTAAAAGCGCTCTGTGCCTCAGCCAGTCAGCTGTGTCTTACCTAAGCCTTGTGTCCATTGTCGGTCTCTAAATAACTCTCCATACTTAACGAGGCAGAGTGGAGCACCAATATCATGTGGCACGATTAAGAGGAACAGTATTACGCAGTGCATTTCACCCCCTTCTGCCCCACCATACTTCATCTTGGAAGTAACTGAAACTGTATGCTGCGAGTGACCTAACAGCATTTTAATCGCCCTTCCTTTTGTTTGTCTTGCACATCTTCATTGCCAGAACTCTTCAACAACACCATGCAACAGGATGCACATGAATTACTGAACTACCTGCTGAACAGGATTGCTGACTTACTACGAGATGAGAAGAAGCAGGAAAAGCAAAATGGCAAGCTGCGGAATAGAAGCAAAGGGGAGAAGGTGGACCGCACTTGGGTCCATGAAATCTTCCAGGGGACACTAACCAATGAAACCAGATGTCTTACCTGTGAATCTGTATGTTGTTGTTCTTTAAATCCCCCAAAGCTCTTCCTTATCCAACAATAAGCCATTAGAGTATGTTGGTCCATTGATTTCAGTGGGCCTACTCAGAGTATGACTTCTTTTCTTTTTGTTCATTTCTGTCCTGCCTTTCCTTCAATGAGCTCAAGGTGGTATACGTGGTTCCCCTTCCCAGTTTTATCCTCACAACAACTCTGGTAGGTTAGGCTGAGAGACTATAACTGGACTAAAGTCACCCAGTGACCACTCTCCCTTGGTGAGGTGTGATTCAGACTTATGCTACCACCTCCTGTGCATGCCTGTTTTTCACTTCTTGGTCCCTCACGATCACAGAGGAGGGGTTTTTATTGTGTGTTGTTTGCAATAATTTACTCTGTTATGGGATACCAGACAGAAGGGGCACAAGGTCCCACAATGATGTAGGAAAGCAGTTTTGCAAGAAGTGTGATGTGTCAGTATTGGATCAGAGGTGAAGAAACTCATCGGGGGAGGGGGGGCAAATCTGGCCCTCCAGGCTTCTCCATCTGGTCCTTAGAACTCTTCCTAGGCCACATCCATTACCAACTTGCTTCTCACCATCCTTGAGTGTTGTTGCTTTGCTAGAATGTGTCCTAGCATGCTTGCCTGATGAATGCTAGAAATTCACATCTGTTTATTTGCCTTCTTCACCTCTGGCACCACCCACCAGTGCCGTGTGGCCCCCAGAAGGTTGCCCAAATAGAATGTGGCCCTCAGGCTGAAAAACATTCTCCATCCCTGTGGTAAATGCTGGGGAGTCTAGTACAGTGGTGCCTCGCAAGATGAAATTAATCTGTTCCGCGAGTCTCTTCGTCTTGCGGTTTTTTCGTCTTGTGAAGCACGGCTATTAGCGGCTTAGTGGCTATTAACTGCTTAGCGGCTTAGCGGCTTTAAGAAAAAGGAAACAAACTCGCAAGAACTCGCAAGACGTTTCGTCTTGCGAAGCAAGCCCATAGGGAAATTCGTCTTGTGGAACGACTCAAAAAACGGAAAACTCTTTTGTCTAGCGAGTTTTTCGTCTTGCGAGGCATTCGTTTTGCGGGGCACCACTGTATGGTGATAACTTTGGTCTTACCTGTTTTATTACATTTTACGTGTGCTCTTCATTCATTCTGGATCCCATAATGGGATACAAATAATATTTAAACGAAACAATTGCTACATCTAACCAATAAAACACAGTTTAAATAAAATAAGGAACACAGCAGCCGCCAAAAAAATTAAAAGAAAAGTGTCAAGCAAACTTTCTTTGCAATGGCCATTAACTACACAGAGACTTTGAACAATCAGATAACTCCAAAAGCTTGGGATGATGAGTGATTTTTTAAAAAGCAGGTTCCAGAAGCCCAGTAACACCAAGACCATCAAGCTAGGTGATTGGTGGCACGTCTTAGGTATTCCAGCAAAGGCCTTTTATATTTAGCTTCATGGCTAGTATGCTAACGAAATGAAAAAATGAGTCAAATAAGAAGGTATGAATATGTTGACTACTTTGGGGGGGGGGGATCTAAGGTAATCCACACCATACATTTAAAGCACATTTCATGCGTATGACTCCCCGCGAAGAAGCTTGGAAAATGCCATTTGTTAATGGTGCTTTGTATTTCAGATCTGTTAAGAGTAAACCATAGCTCCCAGGATTCTGGGAACTGAAAGCCATGTGCTTTAATGTGTGGTGTGGATGTCACCTGTCTAAGATAACCAGGGTAGATTTAAGGTGAGTTCCCCATAGACTGAAGGAGTAGAGCAGCCTTCACCACAGCCTGATACCTTGTTGATGTTTTGGATTGCAGCTCCTATCAGCTGCAGCCGATACCCTGATGGGAATTGTAGTTCAAAATATCTGGAGGGCACCAGGCGGGCAAAGGCTGGAGTAGACAAATGGCTGTAAGCCATGGCAGCTATATGGAACAGTCAGTGTTATCAGTTTTGCTGGTTTTTGCCATCGTACTTTAGACTTCCTTGATACATCTGCCTTATCACTCTTGGAAACAGGTTTGAAGTTAAAATCTACTTCACTTGATCCAGCAGGGCTCTTCTTAAGATGCATTTCAGTCTGAAGAAGATTGAAATAGGAACCAGTTAAGTCAGCCAGCCATTAATTTGCATCGTTTCCTGGAACAAATCCAGTCAATCAGCATGTCCTGCATCCAAGGAACTACATGACTTGCTTTGGATGTGTTTCTCAAAGAGTCCCTTCTGCTATATGGTGAATTGCCTTTGAAAACAAGAGATGAGCTTCCAAAGCAGTGTGTGTGCGCATGCGCATGTGTGTGGGACTCCTAAAATAGCTCTCTAGATCCTGACCTATTTCGGAAAAGTAAAGTCCTAAGCAGAGGGGGGAATCTCGAGTGGGCTTTTAAACTTAATGTGCTTTAAAAATAGCATTGGTTTTGTTACCTGCTCCATTCTAAAGGGATCTTCTCAGCCGGCATGGCGCAGGTTGTGAAAATTTGGTTCTGCGGCAATTGCCTGTCGCCAATGCAAGGCTTTCCAAAGGCCAAACTAAATATAACCCCACTCACACAATTAACAGTTGTGTGAATGGTTTGTTTTTTTAAAATATAAATAGCAATCACAGGTAAGCTGAATTCAGAGCCAATCAAGGGAGTAGTGGGGAGGGGTTTAAACCTGAACATGCCCAGCTGCAGTCCCTGTCTGGGTTGGATGGGGGAAGTTTCACATGCCTTTGCACTGGAAAGAAGGCTTCCATTTGCACCCATGGAATTGCTGATTGGACAAATAGTGTTATGCTTAGTTTGTCATTTTATATGGGGAGGTTTTTCTGTGTGGATGAAACTACATGTAGCCTGCAACTGGCCTTTATTTTGAGAAGAGGCTGAGCAGCTATCTGGAAGATTCGGGACATATAAAAGGAAGTATTCTTATGCAGTGCATAGTTAAACCATGGAACTCACTCACACAGGAGGTGGTGATCTTCACCAGCCTGGATGGGTTTAAAAGAGGAATAGACAGTTTCATGGAGGAGAGGCCTATTGATGGCTATTAGCCATGATGGCATCAATTCTTGAAGAATTGATGCTTTTGAATTATGGTGCTGGAGGAGACTCTTGAGAGTCCCATGGACTGCAAGAAGATCAAACGTATCCATTCTTAAGGAAATCAGCCCTGAGTGCTCACTGGAAGGACAGATCGTGAAGCTGAGGCTCCAATACTTTGGCCACCTCATGAGAAGAGAAGACTCCCTGGAAAAGACACTGATGTTGGGAAAGATTGAGGGCACAAGGAGAAGGGGACGACAGAGGATGAGATGGTTGGACAGTGTTCTCTAAGTGTTCTTGAAGCTACAAACATGAGTCTGACCAAACTGCGGGAGGCGGTGGAAGACAGGAGTGCCTGGCCTGCTCAGGTCCATGGGGTCACGAAGAGTCGGACACGACTAAACGACTAAACAACAACAGCCATGATGGCTGTGATCTACCTTCACAGTTAAAGGTTGCAATGCTTCTGAAAACCAGCTGCTGGAAGCCACAGGAGGGGACTGTGCTCTTGTGCTCAGATCCTGCTTGCTGGTTTCTCACAAGAATCCTGTCTGGCCACTGTGAGAATAGGATGCTGGACTAGATGGGATCCTGGCCTGATCCAGCAAGCTCCTCTTATGCTCTTATCTTCAGCAGTCTTCAACCTTGTCAGACCTGAAACCTTTAACTCCAACCAGCAATGTGAACCTTAGACTGGAACCCATTTGCAGCTTCCCATTGTGGCTACACAGATTCCTCTAGGAAGCCCACATCAGGCCGTGAGGGCAATAGCCCGCCTCCTGGTTTGTTTGTTTTTTTGTTTGTTTGAGCACCAGATTTAAAATACAATAGCTTCTGAACATGGAAGTTTTATTACAGCAGGGAAGGGGAACTAGTCAGGGATAAAGGGAGTTGAAGTTCAGCAATTGATCCAACACGTCCCCCAGTATATGAAGAGAGGCAATAAGAGGCAGCATGGGGCTCAACATTGATTCTTTAGCATCTTTTAATTATCCCTTGTCTTTATTTCTCACTGCAGACATACCAGTTTGACAGTCATTCCTTCTCTGCAGGAAAACCCTAGGAATTGTAGTGTGGGGGCAGGGGAGCAAACTACAATCCCTGGGGTTTGCAAGGGGCAGGGGGAGTTATGTCACGTAATTTTGTTGTCTGTTTCTTCCTTGCCTTCCTTTCTTCCCTGGCTTTCTGTTTATCTCTTTTTTAAAAAAAGGATAGAAAAATTAAAAAAACAAATGTTAGTGGAACTGGTATGCCCCTACTGAGGTCAGGTCATGACTGATTTGGGGGTTGCAACCCATTAATAGAAAGCCAGTGGTCCAAAACTGCCTTCCTCAGTCTAATGCCCTCCAGATGTTTGAGATTACAACTTCCGTCAGCCCCAGTCAGTATCTGTAGGCTGTCAGGTTGGGAAAAGCTGATCTATAGCATATGAATCTGTATTATAAGCTGTGGTATTGATTTATGAGTGCGAGAGGATGCTGGGTGTCAAATGATGCTTGACTGCATGAGATCAAAGAGCCGTGTCCATCATTCTCTGCAGTATTGCCAAGGATTCTTGGGCACTCCTGTTTGGTGCTCCCCTTCCTACCACTTTTCATTGCTTCTTTGGCCACCCCTTCTCATACTTCCATTTGAGTACAGGCAATCCTCATTCTGTGCGGGGGTTCTGCATGCATTGGCGGAGCTTGCATAAGCCCACTTGCCCCTGCTCTGTCCCTTTGCATGATGTTTTTGTGGTGTTTAGGGGCTATCACCAGGTTTGGCAGTGTGCAATCGGTTTGGCAGTGTGCGCGATTGCACATTATTCCGACATGCCTAAACCGGAAGTTGCCTGTATTAAAGATGCCTTCTTTCTTAAACTTAAAACATGATTACTAACCATGGTGGCTGTGCTGTGCCTCCACAGTCAGAAGCAGTGATGCTTTTGAATAGCAGTTGCTGGAAACTGCAAGAGGGGAGTGTGCCTTTGTGCTCGCATCCTGTTTGTAGATTTCCCACAGACACTTGGCTTGCCATTGTGAGAACAGGATGCTGGACTAGATGGACCAGTGGTCTGATCCAGTAGACTTTTCTTACGTTTTAGCATTTCTAAACTTGCTTATTTTTATTCCATTTACCCTGCCTCTTTTTTTCTTTTTTCTTTTCAAGGTTAGCAGCAAAGATGAGGACTTTCTGGACCTTTCAATTGATGTGGAACAAAATACATCAATAACACACTGTTTGAGGTATTTTTTTATTTTTTTAAACCCAAACACCTCAAGAGCTTCCCAGATAAGCACTTGTGTAATGCTGTCAATATATGACACTTTACAGGAGCCTTTTGCTAACCTCCGGATCATAGAATCTTAGAATTGAAGACTTAGAAGGGACCCCAAGGGTCTAAGCCAATCCCTTGCAGTGCAGGATTTACAACTTAAAAATCCCTGGCAGGTGACAATCCAACCTCTGTTTAGAAACAGCCAGTGATGTTTTGGCGATGGTTGTGCTAGCTGGAGTTGATGGGAGTCATAGTCTAAAATGTTTGGAGGTCACCATGAATACTGTTTTACTGAGTGATGTCATTAAAAAGTTGTATCCTTCCCCAAGGAACATATCCTCTAAATTTTGACAGATGGGTGGGTGGGGAGAAAAGCCAGAGTCCCCATAGCAAGCATGTTGGTGACTTGTGCAAGTCAATTATTATTATTATTTTATTAATTTTATTTCTATACTGCCCAATATCTGAAGGTCTCAGGGTGGTTCACATAAAATATCAAATACATAAAATCAAAACAAAACCAACAACCCAATCAAAAACAAAAACCCTAAAGAGCCAGCATTTTTAAAAAGGGTATAGGATGTAGATCAAGTCAGACAAAGGCCTGGTTGAAAAGGAACAATTTTTGCCTGGCTCCTAAAGGTGTATAGTGAAGGCACCAGGCGAACTTCCCTGGGGAGAGCATTCCACAGACGGGGAGCCACTGCATAGAAGGCCCATTCTCGTGCTGCCACCCTCCTGACCTCTTGCGGAGGAGGCACATGAAGAAGGACCTCAGAGGATGATCTCAGGGTCTGGGTAGGTTCGTATGGGAAGAGGCAGTCCTTGAGGTAGTTTGGTAGTTCACTATACCTCAGCCAGTGTGATGTATCAGCAGAGCATACAGAGCCCAGCAGAGTCTTCAGAGATTTCGTGCTCCCAGCAGAACAGCTTCCAGAGTCCCCAGATACAAAGCAAGGTGAAACAGTACTATCTTCTATATAAAGTTCTTCTGGGCTTTGAAGTAAAGATAACATGTGTACAGATAAATCTGCTAGCACTACCACCATGTAAAAACCACAGCCTCTTTTCTTGACTCTCACAGATTCAGAGTTGGATCCTGACAGCATCAGAACAGAACATGGACCTCAGGACATACACAAGACATACTAAAAGCTAGAGATTATTATACCCATCTCTACACTTACTGATGGGAGGGTGAATGACTCAGCACCCTTATCTCAGAGCATCCAGACTTGGGGGATGTGCTTCCTCCAGACATGAGCCCAAGCACTGTCATTTAACCCATTGTTCACATCACACCAATGAAGGGATGAAAACGAACAAGTTCACTTATGCTAGAAATGGGAAGCCTTAGGAACATAGGAAGTCACCTGGGGCTCCTTTGGAAGGAAGGGCAGGATATCAGTTCAGTCAATCAGGTAATCATCTGTCTTCTACTGAGTTGAGTAACAGGGCTGGACATGAATGCGATAGCATTCTATGGTTTCCAGCAGCTGATATTACTGCTTCCAACTGTGGAGGCAGAGTGTAGCCATTGTGACTAGTAGCCATTGATAGCATTACCCTCATCCAACACATTATCGCCTGTGAAGACTAGTAGTGGCTTTCCACAGGTCTTATTTCTCAGCCCTCATTGGAGTTGCTGGGATTTGAGTTACAAGTTCCCTATCCCTGTGGTGCAGAAATGTGAGGAATGGAGCCTTAGGAACATGTGACAGAATAAGTCACGTGACAGAGGAAGCTTCAGCCTCATCCTGCCGGCTGTCAAGTTTGTGGGCCGGATGGGATGTGAGTTTTCTCCCGCGAACTTGAGTTTGCTATATTATAAATAAAAAACAGATTTATCTATCTCATAAAATTTATACACTGCTTGATTGTAAAACAAAACAATGTGGTTTACAAAACAAAACAAAAAAATATGAAAAGGAATTAACAACAATAATTTAAAACTTTCAAAAAATTAAAATTATCAATAAATTGAAAACAAAACTTCCACCACCTTTCTAAATATCTAGGTAGGCTTGTCTAAATAAAAGTGTTTCTAGCAGGTGCCAAAAAGAGTACGGTGCAGGCTCCTGCCTGATATCAATAGGCAGGGAGTTCCAAAGTGGAGGTGCTGCCACATTAAAAGATTTTAATGTATTTTTAATCTTTGTTGGAAGCCGCCCAGAGTGGTTGAGGAAACCCAGCCTGATGGTGGGGTATAAATAATAAATTATTATTATTATTAAGTGCTTACAAATGCGGAGCAGGTATTAATGTGGCACCTGAAACAGTGCCAGTTCCACCAATTGAAATGGTTGAGTGGGCGTAAATGGGGTAAGGCACTCTCATAGGTAAACTGCTCCCCAATATGAGGTATGAGCAAACAGGAGTTCTTGGTTGGCGGTGAAACGCCTGAATGTGCTAACTCAGTGGTTGCCAATTGGTGGTCCATGTAACCCACCCAGGGGGCCTATGGCACATACCTGTCAATTGTCCGGAACATCCTGTTTTGGGGGGCTGTGCTCTTGTGTGGGTCACATGACTTGCACAGGAGCAAGGTGCAGAAGACTCACATCCTGGTTTTGCACTGGGACTCATTGAGTGTTGTTCACATAACAAAAACTATGACAGAGATACCAACATTTTCAAAAGTAGAGGATCCATGGCTTTGGCTTTTGAAAAATGGGATTCACAGTACTTGGCTAATTGCCCTAACTGCCCTAACTCTGATTTAACTTCCCATTTTTACAGGAAATTCAGTAATTCTGAGACTCTGTGCAGTGATCAGAAATACTACTGTGAGCAGTGTCGCAGCAAACAGGAAGCGCAAAAGAGGTAAGCCTAAAAGCTATTGGTTGTTGCATTTTTATGTCACTTTTCCTCCAATCTGCTCAAGGCAGTAGGCATGGTTCTCCATCCTCTTTTGTTCTTACAATAGCCTTGTATGGTAGATTAGGATAAGAAAAAGTGATAGAAAAGTCCATTCGGAATCTGAACCTGTGTCTTCCTTTGTCCAGCACTTTAATCATTAAACCACCCTGGTTCTCAATAAAAATAAGATATGTTACAGTTCTCTTTTGTTTGAATTAGGGACAATACATTATATAGAGAGCCAGGTGTGTCTGCTGCAATACTATGAGTACAGAAAACCCCCAAACATGATATTGCATGTTTACTGCTTTGGTGGTGGTGGTGGTGGTGGTAACTCTCCGTGCTACAAAGCAGCACTTATTTCAAAGCAACTGCAGTTTGGAACAATTTGTATTCCCTAGACTTTCTGTCACTGAACCCCCCTTTTTTTGCTTGCTTGTGGGGTGCCCCACTTTTGTGATGGATTTCTTGAAACTATGCCTGCTGAAATCTCAGGTGGTGGAAGGATGACTAAACTAAGTTTCCAGTAGTCGGGCATTGGTTGAGGGTGCACTGAAGAAGCTCTGTGCATGACTTTCACAATCTGAATCAATTGTTCAAACCTATTTTATAAAAGGTGATGAATGATTTATGCAAAATAAGAGACTGAACTCAGCAAGTTGCAGAATTCTGCAGGCACAAAACTTCGTATTCTTGATGCAAAGTGTTTGAAGGTTTACATGTGGAGGCTGCGACCCTGATAAGCTTCATCCTGTGTGACTTATGTAAAAGAAAGCCGTCATGTCTCAATACAAAGCAGGAACATATTTTGTGTTTTGAAGCAGAGCCAATCAAATATCTTCTGCTCAATATTTTCTCCTTTTCGAAAATGCCGACTGATAACCTGCAAAAACAAATTAAAGCCATCTGACTTGGATGGTTGGGTAAGAGTAAGTGTTACCACTTCTGCCTCCTACTTTTCTCACGGATACAGGAGAAAATCAATTGTTCTTATTTCTTAGTCAATAGCAGCCAGAGCCAAAAGGCAGAGTTCATTCTTTCTTCTGCTTTCCTTGTTGTGATGAGAGACGGATGCTTTTGGGCCATACAAGAAGTTGCTTTGAGTCCATATGCTCTTTCTCAGCCTTCACCAACCTTGTGCCCTCTAGATACTTTGCACTCCAACTTCCATCAACCTCAGCCAGCACAAGAGGGCTTGTAGGCGGAGGCTGATGAGAGTTGTAGTTCAAAACATCTAGAGGGCAGCAGGTTGGCAAACAGCCGCACTGATTCTTCCCAATGTTGCACAAAAGAGGTACTGAATAATGTTTCAGATTTGCGAATATTGAAAAAGTTATCCATTTATTTGAATAACTTACCATGTTTACTGTTTTAAACAAGCTTTCTTAGAATTCAGAGTGATTTCATAACATGGATTCCACCCTCCACCATCTCATTCTCTTTTGGTCTTATTTTGTGGACCTAGGATGCGAGTGAAAAAGTTGCCCATGATTCTTTCTCTGCACTTGAAAAGATTCAAATACATAGACCATCTGCATCGATATACCAAACTTTCCTACCGTGTAGTCTTTCCTTTGGAGCTTCGACTCTTCAACACTTCAGGAGATGCTTCAAACCCAGATAGGATGTATGATCTTGTGGCTGTAGTTATTCATTGTGGCAGGTAAACTATGAGGGATCACATGCATACCATGTGATATAGCATTTGCTATGTATTTGGGGGAAATATTTGTCTGTTCTCTGTCTGTTTGGAGACGTTCTGCTTGTGGGCTTCCCTTAAGCGTTTGCTTGGCTGCTGTAGGAACAGGTGCTGGACTGCATGAGTCTTTGGTCTGTTCAAGCTTTCTCTTACTTCAGGGGTGGGGAGAATGTGGCCCTCCGGATGTTGCGGAACTACAGATTCAAGATAATTCGCCTGTGATAATTGGTTCCCTGAGCATGTTGGCTGGGAGTTGTGGTCCAGCAACACCTGGAGGAACACAAGAATGTCTTGCATGTCCTCTATTACAAGCCTTCTCTCAAAACACTTTAAAGGAAATCTTCCTACAGCTTTCACCTCTCTTCTCTTGTGCAAAGTAGTCCCCCTCTTGTTCATTCTGCTTCTGCTCTTTGGTACCTGTCTTCACCAGCTGATGGCACTTCCCATAGGATGGTCTACCCTCAGAATTATGGAGTCTGGTGGATTCCTGAATGCTCTGGGGGATTTCCCAGCTGACATGTTGAGACTGTGGAATGGTGATGTATGTGGAGCTATCAGCATGATCTCTCCTGAGTGTACTCACCATTGCTGTGGAGCACATAGGTTGTCTTTGTACTCTAGTGACCTGCATGTCTGAGGATGAAGACCAGCTTGAAGAAGTGTGGTTGACCACCTACCCCCTTGACCATCTTGGCTTCTTAAAGTTGGCCATAGTAGATGGACTAGGTGGGTCCAGGGAGTGATCAGTGCTTCATTTGAGGAGGGAGAGGTACCACCCACTCTGAACTTCCTTAGAACCTCCTTAGAACCTCCCTCTACCTGGAAGTGTTAAGCAACCATTAAAAAGGTAAAGGACCCCTGACAGTTAAGTCCAGTTGTGGACGACTCTGGGGTTGCGGCGCTCATCTCGCTTTACTGGCTGAGGGAGCCAGTGTTTGTCTGCAGACAGTTTTTCTGGGTCATGTGGCCAGCATGACTATGCCGCTTCTGGAAAAACCAGAGCAGTGCATGGAAATGCTGTTTACCTTCCTGCTGGGGCGGTACTTGTTTACAAATATCACTTTCTGGGACAAGGGTACTTGAGAGGGTGGTGTTGGTCCAGCTTCAGGCATGCTTTGAGGAGACTGAATATCTGGATCCATTTCTGCCTTACTCTGAAACTGCCTCAGTTGCCCTGTTTGGTGATATTGTTGATGGATTGGCTCAAAAAAGTGAGACTTGAGCACACTGTACTTCAATAGTTTTGCTCATATATTCAGGGGCATTTCCACAAAGTAACTATGGGAAGCTACTGTTTGACACTGTGGGAGCTTTCCTGCGATATCTTGCAGGGTTCTTGCAGGGATATGTGGATGACACCCATCACTATTTGTCTCTCCCATCTGAGTCAGGAGAGGTGGCTGAGGTGCTATACTGGTGTTTGAAGGTATTGGTGGGTTGGATGTGGACCAAGAAATAGAAACTATCCTGAAAAGACAGAGATGTTATGTGTTCCAAGTTCTCAAGTCAAGGACATGGGAAGATGGCTTCCTCTGGACAGGGTTGCACTTCCGTGGAAGGAGCAGGTTTGTAGCTTGGGTGTACTGCTGGATTCAGCATTATCACTTGAGGCTCAGATGGCCTCAGTGACTAGGAATGCTTAGTTCCAGCTGTGGCTGGTTTGCCAACTACAGCCCCTTCTAGACAGCGATGACTTAACCACTGTACTCCATGCTCTGGTAACTTCCAGATTGGATTATTCCAATATGCCCTTAAAGACAACTCAGAAACTTCATCTGGTTCACAATGCTCCAGCCAGATTATTGGCTGGGGTTCCCTGTTCTAACACAGCTGCATTGGCTGCAGGTTTGTTTCTAGGCCTAGTTCAATGGGCTCACACTAGTGTTTGAAATACTAATTGACTTAGGCACCAAATGACCCCCTCCTTCCCTACGGACTCACTCCGGGCGTAAAATCAGCAGAATACCTGGTAGTTTGTCTTGATAGTTCTACTGCCCTCAGAAGTTTGGGGTGGTGGTTGTATCCCTGCAGAGGGCATCACCTCTGGCAACCCCTAAGTTGTGGAATTTCACATTTCAGGAAATGTGAAAGAGGCACCTCTTTGCTATGGCTTGAGAAGTATGTTTTCAGGATGCACACTAATCCTGTGCTTGTAGTTTGTTTTAACTGTTTTTAATACTGATTTTTAAAATTGTTGTCACCCACCCTGGGCCCTGCTAGTGAAGGGCAAGTAATAAATGTGGTTGTGATACTAGTAATAATAATATGTCTGCATCTCAGAGGGTAGCTTACTAGGGAATGGCTGCCCATGACTGCAGGTGACAGATGACTGATAACTATTTTATATGTTACAGTAGCTTAATGTGTTCCATCTCATTTGTACAATCAAGGAAGAGTTCTCAAGTTGTTGTTAAAAAGCAAAAAACTATTGTTGGATTTCCCCCACTCCCTGCTGCCCCCTACAGTAATTTAAGACATTTGCTTGATGCGCGCACAAATTATACATGAATTAATGTTTTCAACTGATTGTTTAGAAATGCTGAGTTATTTGTAGAAGCCAGGTGTAGGCTGCTCCCATCTTCTCTGAAAAGGAAATTGAAATAAAATCTATTATTGGAACAATGAAATTATTTAAAGCAGTATAGTTTGACCAAATGTTTTTAAAGGTTTATATTTTCATGGAGTCAGCGCCACCTGGTGAGAATTCATCAGCACCGAGTTAACAAGGGTAGCCAATTAAAAATGGCAAAAGGGAGCATTACCTGCACATAGGAGGCTACCTTAGATACGGTCAGACCGTTGGTCAGTCTAGCTCAGTAGTGACTGCACTATCTGGCAGTGGCTCAGGAGTTCCTCTCCCTGGAGATGCTGGGGATTGAGTCAGGGGCCAGTAGCATCCAAAGCATGTGTGCTGCTGTTGAGTCACACAGCCCTTTCCCAAAGAACAGTAAATGCCAATGAGAAGGGTTGCAGCCTAACCTCTACCCTGACTAGTTTGCCATGCACATGAAGTGTTTTTGTTTGGAGGGCTGTTCAGTCTTGTGAACTGCCTGCTTGAAGTGGTAGAGCACAGACACAGATTCCCAGGTTGCTAAGAATTAGGCCTACATTGCTGTGTGGCTCCTGTATTCGCACACACTTTAAAAAAAACCTGTAGGTTTCAGTGACAACCATTAATTTATGATATTAATATACCACCTGTCTGACTGGGTTGCCCTAGCCACTCTGGGCGACATCCAACAAATTAAAACATCACAGTAAAACATAAAACATTAAAAACTTCCCTATACAGGGCTGCCTTCAGATGTCTTCTAGAAGTTGTATAGTTGTTTATTTATTTGACATCTGATGGGAGGGCGTTCCACAGGGCGGGTGCCACTGCTGAGAAGGCCCTCTGCCTGGTTCCCCGTAACCTTACTTCTCACAGGGAGGGAAACATCAGAAGGCCCCCAGAGCTGGTCCTGTGTCCAATGGAGGTGGAAATGTTCCTTCAGGTATACAGGGCTAAAGGTGTTCAGGGCTTTAAAGGTCAGCACCAACGTTTTCATTTTGTTCCAGTGGTCCAAACCGTGGACATTACATCACCATTGTGAAGAGTCACGGTTTTTGGTTGCTGTTTGACGATGATATTGTAGAGGTAGGTCTACATATTATGCCAACTTCTCACACCCTGGTGATAACTCTCACGGTGTCTTGGATGTAAGTCATTGTCACGACACATTATTTAGGCGTTTAACCTTGACTGGTGAAAAGTGAGCTGCTTTTACCAGTCCCGTAAACACTTTTGGTGGTTGGTTATTTTGCTGTTGTTTTCTCATTCTTTGCCACTGATGGTCACAGAAGAATAAGGGTTCAAAGGGGGGGGGAGAGTCTTAAGAGATCTGCCACCAGGTGCTTTTGCATAGCAACAAGTGCAGAAATCCTGGATGGGCTTCATAAGTAAGCAAAGAGCAGGATGGGGAAGGGAAGGAGAAGGGAGGCAAAAATTAATAAAGTTCCATCTTGAAGGTTGGGGTTCAGTGCAGGTCCTGGAACAACTGAAGTCAACTGATACAGGTGCCCTGACTTGAAGGTGGTTGATATTGAAAAGTGATTAAATTATTACAGACTCTGTTGGTTGCCTTGTTAAAGGCAACAGCATAATTTCAAATGTCTCCTCTAACCATGGTGTGCAAACCCACTTCAAAGCATGTGTTCATTCTCTCATTTACAAAGGAATTGTGACTTGCATTTAAAATGGTTTACATAGATGCACAGGTAGTGCAAAATCCCAGTTAAATATCCAGAATAAAAGAGGATGATCACCCTGGAGTGGGGGAAAGGGAGGGACTGTTTCGTTCCTGTCCAGTTCCAGATTTGCCAACCAGAGTACCCATGTTACATCTGCACTGGACAAAATTGATCCCATTTACTGTCCACTGTCTAGATCAGCGGTTCTCAACCTGTGGGTCCCCAGATGTTGTTGTACTACAACTCCCATCATCCCTGACCACTAGTCATGCTGGCTAGGAATGATGAGAGTTGTAGTCCAACAACATCTGGGGACCCACAGGTTGAGAAACACTGGTCTAGATCATGTTTTCTCTTCCCTGTTTGATTGGAGCAACATCTGTTGACGTCTAGACATAGCAGTCAATGGGTCAGAGTGCTGTCACTATTCACTGCTTTCCACCGGAGAGACAAAGGAGGCCATTTAGAAAAGACACTCTGAGTCAACACCGAACTTGTACTTCTAAGTTTCAAGGCTATGAAGATGTAACTTTTCCAAAAATACAGTATTGATCCTGCAGTATTCTTGATATTAGGGCAAGGAACATAAGGGTGTTGGTTGCCATGAGACTGATGTGTTTTCACTTCCAGAAGCCAATAGTTTCGGCAGCAGCGTCAAAGTGTTTATCAGATTGTGAAAAATAGCTGCGGAAACGGGAAGAAGTTGTTTTCATACCCTGGCTATTTTTTCTTAAGAACTGTTGTTGAAAGGACTGGCAATGAAAATTGGAACCCATTTCCTTTTCAGTTCTTAGTCTGAAAGATTTTTTCATGTGTGGAGAAAGTTCTGTTTGTTTAAAGGAAAAGATATTGCAACCAAGCTGTGTGGTTAATTAAGTGGCTTATTGTTGGGTGGGGAGGGGAGCCGTCCGCAATTTAGCCACTGGTCAGGGTTATGGGACCCTCAGGTTTCCCCTATCAGTTCTTCATTTTTATTATTATTTTTATTACAGAATTAGTAATCAGCTGGTTGGTTGATGGGTTGTGGAAAGGCCTCTGCTCCCAGGGACCACAGTGTATTCTAGATCTGATGCCTATAAACCCATAGAGACAGAGCTTAGCCTCCTTTCTTTTCTCTTATATGGGTCTGTCTCCATATCGTTCGAGGACCACATCTTCCATGTTCCTTATCAAGCCATAAGTACAGTGTGTACCCTTCCTTTTGCTGTGGCACCTGCCTACCCATCTTGGGTTCCCCATTGACATTTGTGGCATGGGTTGCTGCCAATCTGGTCCCCTGGGGCTAGGTTGGTTTCTGAGGTTTCCACTGGGGTGAGTCATCAGATCACTCTGGAGGACAGCTGTTCTTGCTCCTTTTTCTTTTAGAAATGGAATTCCGTGTCTCCAGGTATTCTTTGTCAGTGTTATAGTTTCTGTTAGGGTGTCATTGGCAAGCCTTGGTGCTCTAGGGTCACCATCTGGATCCTGCTCCACATTGAAAGTGGCAAATGCCTGGATGGGATGGAAGAATCCTCCCACCACTGCCTGTCTGAGTCCTCAGAATCCCAGTTTCTTTCCCCAGATTTATGTGTCACCAAATCAGTAACTGCAGCTGCTGTTTTATTGATGGCTACATATCCATCCAGGATCTGAGTTGGTCTCTGCTGGATTGCATTGAAATAGCTTGTATCCAGCTCCCCCAGTACTACTATAGCTGGGCTCCTGAACCACTTTTCATAGGAATCCTTATCTTGGTATCAAACAGGTAGGGGTGCAATGGATCTCTTGAACCATTAGCCTCTGCTAGTGCATTTAAAGTCCCAGCAGACCTACCATGACTTTTCCACAGCCTCACTGCCCATGTGAGCCAGAAGACTGTTCATTCTCTCAGTGGCTCTATTTCCCTGGTTAGGGCCTGGATCTGAGTAGCTGTCATTGGTTTAATTCGAGTAATGACTTCTTGTTGCTGTATTATGAGCCCTGTGTTGGCTCATCTTTTCCCAGCTGCCTTTTCTGTTTTTCTTTGTGATGTTCTGTGAGTGCTCTCAATTTTTATTTAATCATCTTCTCCCTTTTTCTCCCTAGTAACTTGCCTCCCAGCACCTGCTAGTATCTCCTGACGTGACTTGTCTGATTCCTCCTGAATTTGTTGGATGGCTTATATCATATCCTCTGCTACCCAGTTGATTCTGTTAAATCAGACATTGGTATCAGTTGCCTGCCTTCCACCATTACTCAGGACATTGAGAGCCTGGTTGTGCCTTCTGCTGTTTTTGTCCAGTCTTTGACTTGTTTTTGCTTTGGCTCAACAGGAGGTTGGCAAGGACCTGAATCACAGGTCTGCTCCTGTGGTGTAGTCATTGCAAGTCCCAAATGCCCATATCCCTTTTCACCTTCATATACAAACATTTCAAAGAATCATAGAAGCGTCACCTAGTACAACCCCTGCAATGCAGGAATCACAGCTACAGTATCCCTAGCAGAATGGCCATCCAACATTTGTTTAAAAACCTCCATGGAAGGAGAACCCACCACCTTCCGAGGGAGTCTGTTCAACTGAACAGCTCTTAATGTTAGAAAGTTCTTCGTAAGGTTTAGTCAGAATCTCATTCCGTGTTAATTTTAATCTATTGGTTTGGGTCCTACCCTCTGGAGCAGCAGAAAACCAGCTCATTCCATCTTCCACATTACAACCCTTCAGATATTTGAAGACTGCTATCATACCCTCTCTCAATCTCCTCTCCTGCCGGCTAAACATACGCAACTCCCTCAACCGTTCCTCATAAGGCTTGATTTCCAGACCTTTTGTTATCTTGGTTCCTCCTCTGCACACCTTCCAGCTTGTCAGTATCCTCCTTAAACTGTGATGCCCAGAACTGGTTGGTGAGATCCGACTGTGCCTTCGGGTCCTAATATGTCTAATAAAGAATAGTGTTGGCTATGAGAAGCAGTGCTCCCAAGTTTATTTAAAACATCTTTTAAGAATATAAAACCTCAATATTGGTGGTACTTATTAATACAACATAGATTTGGACAGAAATGGAAACCCCAGTTTGGCAGCCATGGGGCTTGATGAAAAGATGGGGCCACCATCACATCCATAGGTCTGCCTCTTGTGCTAGGGCAGAAGGCAGGGAACGGGGCAGGCAGACAAAATGCTGTGAACCTGAAGCTGGCACGGTTTTTTAGTCCCAGATGAGTCTCGATTGTATCATGTGCTGCTCTGGGTCCTGTGCATCCCAGGCTAACTCAGGCCCTTCACACACCTTGTTTCTGGGGTTTCCAGCCATCCATTTGCCCAATCCAGCCCACCCCCACCCCAGTGCAAAAAGGGGGGGGGGGCAAAGATTGTATCCATCAAACCCAAATCTACTTTTGCACTGTAGATCAATACTAACAGTTTTCTTTATATTTTTGGGTTTTTGCCAATAATTGCCAGTTTCTGAAGAACTGTGCTAGCTATGATAAATTAAATGTCTGCTTATTTTTTACCTATACATCCAAATGTTACCTTCCATTACCGTATGGGCCTTATCAATGAAATGGATTTAGCACTGGTGATAAATCCTCCTGTGGCGAAGTCTCCTCCTCCAGACTCCCCTCTTCTACCGCCACAGGCAGCTGTCTCACCGGTTCCACAGAACCACACAAATCACTGGCCCTCCCCTTAGATTATCCTTCCCAACTGCCTCCTCTGCCCACACATGCCCCCACTCCTCAGGCTCCTGCCCATCGCTGACATGGAGAATCTAAAGGAATGCATTTCCTTTAACCTTTTCAAATACTTTTAAATTAAATTGTAATAACAAGCAGGCAGGTTACAGGAAAAAACATGTGAAAGTAAAATCAGTTTTTTGTTTGTTTTTTAAAAAAGAAAAGATAAGCTGTCACAATGCCAGTAAGTAACTACAGGGTAGAATTAATGCAATTTACTGTTGATAATAGACCATCTTAAGAGGGAAAGGATGCCTGGTCTCTAATTACAAAGAGTTCCATAGCCTAAAGCAAAATACAGTGGTACCTTGGGTTACATACGCTTCAGGTTACAGACTTCGCTAACCCAGAAATAGTACCTTGGGTTGAGAACTTTGCTTCAGGATGAGAACAGAAATTGTGTGTCAGCAGTGGGAGGCCCCATTAGCTAAAGTGGTACCTCAGGTTAAGAACAGTTTCAGGTTAAGAACAGACGAATTAAGTTCTTAACCCGAGGTACCACTGTAGCTTTTCTAAGATGATTTTCTAAGTTTCTATAGAAATTGAAAGCTGTTATATTTTGAAATGAGCCCCCTTTTTAATTAAAGTCCTGCTTGATTAATCAGTGGTACCTTTTTAGGCTAGGAAATATTTGTTTTTGAGCAATTTTTGTCCTTCTGTAGTATACTTAGAGGTAATGTGTGGCTAATAATCCAAATTAAATAGCTGGTTGCATAATCCCAGTAAATTTTCCAAGTCTTTTAATTCTGATGCAGTCTCTCTGTGACCACCACCACCACCTCCCAGAAATATTTTGCTGAATTTAAAGGGGGGGGGGAGAGACACTAAGTGAGATTCAGCAGGTAGTGATGTTATTTTCCCCTCCTTAATCTTCTTGTTGTCTTAAATTGCAGAAAATTGATACTAAAGCAGTTGAAGAATTCTATGGATTAACATCGGACGGTTCCAAAAACTCAGAATCTGCATATATCCTCTTCTATGAATCAAGGCACTAAGACAGTGCACCCTGAAGCATCTTGCATGTTTTCAGAAAAGGAATCAAGCCACTGCTCAGATAGGACATTGTAGTGATAGTAAAATCAATACCTCATCATTGCCATAGGACCACAGGACGTCACCAGGACATAAACTGGGACATTTTCTCAAGGACGACAACTGCCATTAGCAAGAAGGCATCTTGCTTTGGATTTCTTTCTGGGCTATTTTATACTTGTTATCTTCCCAAATCTGTGTTACCTCTACTTGAAATATGCCTGCTTGAACATTCAAGAACCAAGGAAATATTTTCTTGTTTTTCAGTAGTATTATGCAGTTAGTTATTATTCAGGGTTGATGGCCTGAGACTGTCCCTTGGTTTCTATTTCTCCTGTTTTTTTCTGTATTCTAGCAGAATGATTTCAGTCTTCAGTGTCAGCTCAAGACCTGTTTTAGGGTGTGAGTTGCAGAAAGTTGCTGACTGCTGTTGGTGGCCCAAAACAGGATTGCTGCCAGATTAAATTGTATTGGAAATATCATGACTTTAATTCTGTGTGTGGCAAGAGAAAAAGAAAAAGTTGTCCCTATAGTGTTGTGAATTTCCTCAAAGGGTAGCATTTTGATTTCAGACAACACTATTATTCTTCTTCATTTATCCCCACTTTGTTCCCCCCCCCCCAAATCTTATTGAAATGTTATTTTTATGTGCTTTATAATGTATTCTCTACTCAAAGCCGCAATATTGCAGAATCTAAGGGAGCAAAAAGTAGATGAAAATCTTTGAGGACCTGTAAGATGAATTGATTGTATTTCTTGGAGCTCTTATATAAGCCAAAAGTGCCCTCTTCTGAAAATAGATATATTTGTTGTTTGTTTCACTGTATAACAAACTCTACAGACACAAACAAAAAGGCAGGTTTTGGATTGAATCTACATTCTAGAAATACCTATTAAGAGGCAACACTAATTCTGAGAATTAATGAACAAATCATCCTTGTTTTGCAAACAGCGGGAGTTTAAGAAGAAATAACTGAGGTCAACATGTACCGATGCCTTGAGAAGTATCCAATTTAAGCTGTGGACCATGTATAATTGCCCAGTTCTCGATTGGCTGCTGCTTCAACAGAAAAACAAGGCTGTCTCATGAAGACTGAATTTCACTTAGTGTCTGTTTACCAGATCTGCTGCCCCTGTTTATCCTGCCACCTGAATTGGTCACCACTGTGCCTCCTGGGTGGGGTGGTCCAGGATCCAGTGACCAGTTTTGGCTATGGGGAGTCTTTGTTGTGCCTAAATTGACATTCCCACCTGAAATGGCTTCCCAGCATGTTCAAGTGGAGGGGAGACACTTTGAGCAGTCCTCTAAAAACATCAGGATTGCCTCCATTGTAGCAATGGGAAACATGCGCAGCAGCTCCTTGTAAGCGTTAGAGCACATGGAACTCTGTACTGGGACACATGAGTGGAAGTGGAGATTCAGCCTTCCATTTGGTTGTAACATTAAAGCCGCCTCTGCTTGTCCCAAAGCAGCCCTCCGTATCATGCTCACTGTCGAGGAGGAGATCTACTTAATTACAATTCCATAACTTGTGCTCTGGTTCTCCCCCCCCCCCCCCCAAAAAAAAACCCACAACCATTATGTGCAAACATCACGTCACATTCTCTTAATGTCTTCTTACGCAATTGTCTCCCCGGCAGAATTCTGCTAGCAACAAATTCTGCAATTAAAAACGGACAAACTGTCAGGTTTCAGCATTCACACTTCAACCACTTCAGGGAGAAAACTGATGTTGCCTAATATATTAATGCCAAAATATGCAAAAGTAATATTTTCTTCAGAGGTTGTCATCACTAATAAAATAAGTCTTTGACAACTGGCTCTTGATAATGCACTACAAGTGAATGTTCTGTTGGCTAGAAATCCACCCATAAAGACCCAAAATGAGGCCGTTAAGCAAAGCCTGTCATCTTGTAGGTCTTCAGAGGAAGGTCACAGGTGTGAAGGCACGCACTAAGCAGCAAATGGCAGAGTAATGTAGGAGAACATAAGGCAGAACATAGGACCACCCACTTCTATTTTGTATAGTTGGTGATAATCCTTTTACAAATAAAATGCCTTGTAAGAAATAGAAAATATTAAGAGATATATATACTATAGATTAAAAGGGCACTTTTGCTACAGTTTCTATTGTGAAGAGAGTGGTTTGATGCTGCTTCTGTATAATTAAATGACTGCCGAAATGTTTCCAATAAAAGATTGAGTATGGTGAAATGCATCAAATGTATGTGCGTTGTTGCTGTTTTTAAATTGAATTTAAATGCTAGACTAGGGGATATGTTTATTCCATTTCTATCCTCTGAAAGGTGGTATGTGTGGTCTCCCTACCCCTGTTATACCTTTACAACAAGAACCCCGTGCTGAGAGAAAGTGACTCATGCCAGTTATATATTTTTATTTATTTATTTAGCACAATGTGTGTATTGCTTACCTGTAAATAAAACTTGTAAGTGGTTGACAAAATGGCAAAACAAAAGTATAGATTAAAATTAGCAAAGGTGAAAGCCGTTTTTTAAAATTAGAAATTAAAGCTCATGGCAGCTTTTACGTGTCTGGGTAGGTTTGCCCAGAGATTTTAGTATGTGCCAAAACAGATATAACAAAGGTGCCTGACTGATGCCAGTACAAGATACATTTTATAGTTCAGAATATCTGGAGTGTGCCATGCTGATTACCCTTGTTTGTTATATGGTATGTTGGTAATATAGCCATATTGCATATGAGAGAGCTAGAAGTAAGATTTGAAATGGAAGCTTCCTGGTTCACAGCTCAGCCTCTTAGAAGGCATGTTCAGGCCTGGCATTAGCACATAATACATCAGTAGGCAGGTGTAAGGGCAACTTGTAGCGCCCACTGCACTGATGCCTGGATTTGGTTTCTCCCCTTGGGGAGGTCTAGCCTGAAATGGCTCTCCCCACCTTTGAAAGCCACCATGGGTTGTCAAACAAAGAACTTTACATTGACCATTTATTTCTCCAAAACTTCATGCTGAATGTTGAATAGCCTTGGTGAGCAACTGTCCTTGTGACAACAGTCTCATCTCTGTGTGTCTGTAATAAGAGTTTTATGTTCAACCCGTTTCTTTGCACATAATTTCTATTAAGAGCACGGGTTTTGGTTAAATTAATGATTTCCACACTTTTTTTCTAGAATAGAAAGCAGGACTTCACCCACATGTTTGGAAGCTAATGCTTCTTCAGGGAGAAAGCAACTTTTTGAACACAAATTACACTATCCATTAAAAGCCCACATTTGGTGGTGGTTTTCTACAAATTTTTGGGCAGTGTCGGGCAGTTCCCACTAGTTGTAAATGTATTGTACTCTGGTTTCTTGGGATTGCCAAGTGTTTAAACAGAATGTAGAATTTTTCATCCCTTTTAAACAGACTGGGTGAAGTACAGTGTAGGGAGGTCCTGGACTTAGTACCCTCTACTGCTGTAAGACATGCTATTAAGGTAAAACATGCCAAATCACATGGTAGGTTCATACAGGGTAGGTGGGACCATGCACAAACCGAGTGGCAAATACGTGCAGATATGAGACTGCCTCAAATCAGGACAAATATGTACTGCCTAGCATTTCACTCTTAAGAGGCAATTTCTTAAGAGGCAGAGAGCTGGGCCTGGATAGCATGGTTGAATATTTTTTTTGTCTATGTGTCTCGTATCTCCTGGGATTGTGAGTTAAGAGGTTGCAGCAGCCAATGCCAGAAGAATCATTTCTGCCAGTTCTGGTGGCATGCTGGCTGGGGGCAGTGATTAAACTCCTTAGAGCTGAAGCACAACAAACAGAAATTTGAGGTTTCTGTGTATTGCTGTTTGTTCTGATTCAGCTTTAAAGAGCAGGTTTTCACAGGGAAAGCTCCAGAGCAAAAGTGTGGGTGGGGGGCATTTGAACACAGAGCTTTAAATTGCTTGAAAAGCACAGAGGAGAGGTAAGTGTGGATAAGCTCTTAGTCTTGCCTGTGTAGCAAACGCTAGCTGCTCTGCTGCGTTGATGATCCATGGTTCACAAATAAATACAGCTTTTAAAGTTTTCCTGGTTCCAGCTGCTTACTGGTAGTGGTGCAGACCCATTGCAAGGTCTCTTCACATAGTGAGTACCTTTCCCAAATCCATGAGGTACTTCATTCAGCACATAAACTATGGACCGCACTTGCACAGGAGGCAGTGTTGGCCATCAAGTTGGTTGTCTTTAAAAGAGGCCTGGCCAGATTCATGGAGGAGAGGGCTATTGAAGGCTACTAGCCATGATGGCTATATCCCACCTCCACAATCAGAAGCATATAACCAAGAAATTCGCCTGTATGGTATTGTTACATACTCCTTTGGAAAAAGCTGTTCAGACAGCTCAGCCTGTCAGCCCTTTCCTTGCATTCCATCAACAGTTTGCATATATAGGGGGGTGCAGGGAAGGACACTGGTGTAGAATAGAATGTCCCTATTTTCATCTGAGGAAAGTTGGAGGGTATGACATGATGCAAACATTTTTCTGTGCCTTTTCCCTTCCCCTTCAAAAAATCTAGTTCTGACCAGTTGCCACGGACTCCAGTAATTCCAAAGGATAGGTTGCACTTTTGTCAAGCTCTGGAACAAGTTCAGTTTTGGTCTTGCTAAACTAGCTGCTGTGATGGGCTTTGTCTTCCTAAGACAACAAGGAAACTATAGCAGAGCACTTCCCCTTCTCGAATATCACAGTGCAAGTCTCCAGCAGGTTGCTATTCAAAACTGGCCTTTGGAATTGAATAACCAGTAGTGTGTTGAGTTTGTTCCTTCCTGCTTTTACTGTTGCAGATTAGTTGTCATGCCTAATGATTTTAAAGGTTGCAGTGAGCCACCTGGAGGGTGAGTTGCCTCTTACAGGATTGCTTTTGTGGTGAGATTATCAAGGTATTCTAGAAGAGTTATCTGTGTTCAGATTAATGTGTAGAGTACCTACTCAGAATGATAAAATCATTTCAAACAACTAGTGGTGTGCAAGTCTTAGCAGATGTGAGAAATAATTGGAAATCACCTATAACTTCTGCCCTCTAGATGTTACTGAAATCCCATCAGCCCCAGCCAGTATGGCAATGGGTTGGGAATGATGGGAGCTGGAGTTGAACAACAGCTGGAAGACCACAAGCTCCCCATCTCTGAGCCAGGGAAACATTATTGTATGTACATCATCCAGCAGAAAAGAAACTCAAGCACATAATTAAACCATACAAAACAAAAGAAAGAACAGCAAACCAGCTAAGTGTTCTGCTTTGGATTGAATATCTCCAGGCAACCACCATTAGGACTTCTTATGACCTTACTACTGTTTCATTACCTTATGCACAATAATATCCAGCCCTGCAAATCTCTCACTTTATCTACCTATCATATTTGATAGAATTTTCTGTCCAGGGGCACATACCGTATTTCAGAAGCAGGGATCTTGCATAAATCCAATGATCATTTGGGTTTGGTATCTCAAATAAGCAAGGAGATGGTGCAGTATTTGACAAAATGCCTCTTTGAAGGAAGACAGTCAAATTAACCAGCGGCATAACAGAGACATCTAAAAGAGCCAATGCAGCGATGGAGCTCAGTTTGAAAAAAAAAACCTCCATTAAGGGAATGAAACCTTCACAAATCGGCCTATTACTGCAGTTGGAGAACATTCAAGATCAGGATTGCCACCTAAATATTAGGGCTACGGGTACCTAAAGAAAATTGGGGAGTATAGCCTGCAAGTTGCTTCTATTGCCTGGATAAATCGGTTATTCCTTGAGATAAACCTCCAGCCTGAAGAAATAGAATGGCTACAGAGAGATCTTTGTCTTAAACCAAAGAACGGTAAAAGTGCCAGAAATGTTATAAAGCACTTGTTTAAAAATGACTTGATGCAAAGGTTTAGCATGTTTTGGATAAAATCAGTGCTATTTTTCTAGAAAAAGAGATGCCAGAACCCACCGTAAAGATAAAGGGACCCCTGACCATTAGGTCCAGTCATGACCGACTCTGGGGTTGCGGCGCTCATCTCGCTTGATTGGCCGAGGGAGCCGGCGTACAGCTTCCGGGTCATGTGGCCAGCATGACTAAGCCACTTCTGGCGAACCAGAGCAGCGCACGGAAACGCCGTTTACCTTCCTGTTGGAGTGGTACCTATTTATCAACTTGCACTTTGACGTGCTTTCGAACTGCTAGGTTGGCAGGAGCAGGGACCGAGCAACGGGAGCTCACCCTGTCACAGGGATTCGGACCGCTGACCTTCTGATCAGCAAGTCCTAGGCTCTGTGGTTTAACCCACAGCGCCACCTGCATCCCTCTTAGAACTCACCATGAACATCTTGTTATCTTAAAAAAGCAATGGTGCCCATCTGAGAGGTGCTAGAACTGGGACCCTGGATAAAATAGAATATGAAGTATGATAAATAGCATTTTTCAAGACTTATGTCAGGAATGCTCCAATGGAGGTGTGATGGAGGGGTTGTAATCTAAATTCCAGATAAATTATGTTTAGAAACAAAAGATACTATAAAGGCTCTTCTTCTTCTACTCTTGTCCTGCACCTAGAAAGCATGGGTCTGAGAGGTTTTATAGCATTTTGCTACAACCCTCAGTGAGCTCCTTATTTAATTTAGAAGCTCAAGACTTAAGGGAGGAAAAATATGCAATACTTCTTTTTTATATAAATTTTATTTTTGCATTTTCTATTTTACATAAACAAATGAATTAAAAACATAAACATATAATCCCTTATGACTCCCCCCCTCCTTGTGGATCTTAATGTAATCTGCATCTCTATTATAACTATTTTTATAAATCCTTTCTCAATCCATACTTCAATTTTTTACTACAAGTTTTCTGTCAATCCTACCAATATATGTAACTGTTTACAACAGCTTTTCAAATAAATTATAAACTTTCCCCATGCTTTATTAAATACCTCCTCTTCCTGATTTCTAATTCTTCCTGTAAGTTATGCTATCTCGGCATAGTTCATCAATTTTTTCTGCCACTCTTCTTTGGTCGGAGTTGTACCATCTTTCCATTTCTGGGCTAAGTCCACACAGCCGTGGTCACATAGAAAAATAGTTTTGTCTGGTCCTTCGGGATCTCTGGTCCTATAAAAGCGTATTGGCCCAAATATAAGCCACACTTTTTTTCCAAATTCCGACTGTGAAAAGTTAAAGTGTGGCTTAAATTAACGA